AAGCAGTGGTATCAACGCAGAGTACTGGTACACTGTTCATCTGGTTCCAGAACCTATATCAACAAAAGCTGAATCTAAAATTAAAAACATAGCTGTTGGCAACAACCAAAAACTTAAATTATTCAAACGAGGAAAACTTATATCCGGTGCCCCCAACATTAAGGGCACTATTCAATTACCAAAACCCCCAATTATTCTAGGTATAACCATAAAAAAAATTATTAAAATTGCGTGAGCTGTAATAATCGAGTTATACAACTGACCGTTGCCTAACAACAACCCCGGCTTAGCCAATTCCAAACGAATAATCAATGATAAAGCAGTTCCCACCATACCTGATCACAAACCAAACATAAAATATAATGTCCCAATATCTTTATGATTAGATCTTTCTAACCAAACTGACAAACCACCTTGATATTTTTTATATATATTAATATAAGAGGAATTTTTCTTCCAATAAAAATTTTTCTCTTATAACTCCAAAAAGGTAAAATATAACCTGTTATATTTTTCATATTAAAAAAATAATGATAATCAAAAAACATTAAACATCATAATTACAGTAGAAAGTGACACACCAATATTAAAATTATTGATATTAATATAATTTTTTACCCATTATACAGCAAACAATCAAAAATAACGAATAATAAAAAGAAATTAAAAAATACACAAAAATTATAAAAAAAAACATTTTACTAATAACTATTCTATTAACAATAATTATAAACTCAGATAAAAATGACAAAGAAGGTGGTACACCCCTGTTAGACAAAAAAACCAAAGAAAAAATGATACCAAAAAAAATTCTAGAAGTAAAAAAACTATTTAAAAAATACACCATACGTGTAGAAGTCGTATGATAAAATTCACCTACCAAATAAAATATTAACGTTGATGTATACCCGTGTGCCAACATTATTATTAAACCACTTACCTTTCTTCTTATTATAATATAAACTATTGTTAATAGTTAGGTGGAAACTTTAAAATTGAGTAAAGTTCTTTAGTATAAATTAGTATGTTTGATTTCCAATCAAGGGTTTAAAGAATTAATTGGAAATTATTTTCAGGGTTATAATTTAAATTTTTCGAATAGGTTGTTTTGTCTAATTCAAGATTGGATATAAGACTGAGAACAAGAACTTACCTGATGATATATTCCATTTTCATCGCAGTCATTACGACAAGAGCGTCACCTTGGCGGACCTCAAAACAGAACAAATAATCATCATTAGGCAAATTAGATTATTTACTTCTATCTCCCGCTTTCACGAGGACTTTTTCGATGATTCCTGGCATTGGTGCGTGGGAAGACTTGATCATGCCAGTGCCAGTTGCAGTATCGCCACCTTCAAAGCTGTCGGGTGATGACAGGTTGTACTCTGACTGACCAGCACCTAGTACCTAAAAACTTAAAGTAAGCCATTGGTACGGCAAATCAAACCCTTACAAGCGCTGAGTTTTGGAGACGAATTGCCTCAGCTTTCCAACGATGACCATCAGATTCGAGAGTGTAACATACTCCCTTATCGTCAACGCTCACGTTGCTTACGGTAACAGACTTCACTTGTCCATCAAAGGACACTTGCTTTTCAGTATCGCTAAGATGAGCCATCACTACTTCCTTTTCACCTGAAAGGATAGCTCGTTGTTTAATGCAAAACAATGCATGTCCCTTATACTACCGCGAGGTGAGGAGAAGTAGGGGTAGATAAAAAAAATGTAAGAGACATATTATTTGCTAAAGCGAAGCAAGTTCTACAAAATGTCTTTGAAACGGTCGCGCAAAAATTTATTGAAGTCACTATTCCCGGCAAAATTTCATTTTCCAGAGTATCACCTTCTCGGAGCCTTTTCGCCATGGGAACTTATATCTAGGTTTTGAAGCTTATGAAAATGACGAAAGTGAGCTTTTCCGAATCTTTCCAGATCCGCATTCAGTGGCAAAGTAAGTGGGCGGGGCCGGAACGAAAGAGGCGAGCACGGAAGACTTCCGGCATATTTCCACTGAATGCAGACCTGAAAAACTTCAAAAAAGTGTCATTTTTGCCATTTTCATGTGCTGAAAAGCCCAAATATGGGTTCCTCATTGCGAGAAGGCTCCAAATAGGTGAAAATCTGGACAGCGAGAATTCGCCGTTACGCTGCCTTTAAGGCGAGGTTCAGCGTTAAAAAAAAGAATTCTGAATACTCAACAGCCGGATCCCCAGTCCAAAAAATCCCAAGTTCTTTAACTTCACGCATATGCTCTTCGCACCAAATATCCATATAGAGCAGTCCGTACTTTTTTCATGACTAGAAATCAAAAATACATAAAAGGTTTGCTTGCTGACAAGGGAATGGTCAGAAGTCGAAGTGGCCAAACTAAACAAGCTGTATATCATTCGATGCAGTATAAAACGCTGATTAATCTGTCTTCCTTATCTGCTTATCGCTTCTGTGGACGAAGCTACAAGCGGTGTGAAAAAATAATACATAAAAACAGCGAAACTGAGCACACTGTTGCACTTTTAGCTCAGCTTCTGGCTTTAAGAATTTGAAGTAAGCTAGCTGCATGTTTTGGCCCAGCATTGGGGCGAACGTGGCTACCGCAAAGTTTTCAAATTCACGCATAATTTCTTAGCAAAATAATGATCTCTAATGACTTGTACGTCTAGAAAAGCGATAAGCAGGTAAAGAAGACAGATTCAGAGTCAGCGTTTCATGCTGCATCTAATGGTATGCAGCTTGTCTGGATTGGCCACTTCGATTTCTGATCATTCCCTTGTGAGTTGTACATAATAAACCTATACTACCCTTGCTGGTATTAGGTTGTAACAGAATTGATGCAGGTTTCTCGCGTCTCTTTTTCAAAGTGTTGGTTCAAAATAAAATTCCATTGTCTTAGGCCGGGCAGACTTCACGCGATTTGATCGTCGCGACTGAGTCGCGACGAGACAACTGTTACAACATCATTCCATGCCGATCAACTTGCATTCGGTTGTGCTACTTTTCCAGCCCGAAATTTTTGAATGTGAAATGAAAATGAATGGAAATCTTGGCGATTGAATCGCGACGATCAAATCGCGTGAAGTCTGTCCGGGGCCTTAGGAAACTAGGGATATCTTCTGAGCAGTGGTATCAACGCAGAGTACTACGCTTTCGTTTTAGGAGAGCTGGGTTCATTTCGAAATTACGTGCTTTTGAAATCAAGCGACTAAAGCTTGAAATTATTTCCTTACTCTTTGCTCTAAATCCATTGCTAAAAATCGGACTTTTTTGCAAACTGGCGTAATGTCTGTATATGATCTGTGCTACAAAAGCAAATTGAAAGCAAATACCTCGAAACTTTCCAGATTGGGAAATTTTATTTCAAATTCAAACAACCACTGCTACCATTCTGCGGCGTATAAAAATCCTAATTGCAAAGCAATTGCGGAGCTTTCACCGTGCACAGAAAGAATAGACATAGGACATATGATAGCAAAAAACCGGGAGCTGCTGTTCTTTTCGGCGGCGAGAAAATTGAAAAAGAACATAAAAGCATCTTTTCGTCTTTTGAGAGCACTTTTGAAGAATGAGTGATTACAAATTTTTTGTAATATTTTCTAGCAAAATTTTTTTCGTGAAAATCAACTTGAACGCTGCTGCACATCCGACTATTATCTGCACAGTGAATGAAGTCTGTACCATTCTACTACATTGTAGTGAGGGTATGGTCTCTCATATTGAAGGTTTTTCAAGAAAACTTTTGGCAGTCTTCCTGTTATAAAATTTTTCTCAGTAAAGCTACAACGGTAAGGTAGTGCGAGTTGAATTGCCAAAAATTGGTAATTGCAGCAATTTTTATTGGAAACGAATCGGCTATTTCTGTAAAAAGTTATAGCACTCCAAACTCTAAATTTGGAAAACCTGCATTAATTCTGTTACAACCTAATACAACGATAGATTTAGCCTTCTACATGTTAGTCTTCGAAAAAATTTGAAATCTATCGCACCAACCTAGAAGAGCGATTTTTCATATTATTAGCCTACTTCTGTTATTCTAACTTTGAAGTGATTCAACAACTGTACGTCTGATCTGAAAGTTTATGCTTGAGCAAGCTAAAGGTCAGTATGATTTTTGAACCAGGACGATTTTTGCGTATTCAAAAAGACGTTGGTTGATTTTAAACTTCCGTTGATCAGTCTCTAGCAGGGCTCGGCCAGCTGGAACCGGGTCAAGCTGATATCGTTTTTGCGGCCGAAAAGACACAAACATTGCGATGTTCTTTAGCCGACGTTTCGTTTTTTTAAGGTTTTTTAACTTTAGGTTTTAGAGTCAGAGGAAACTTCGTAGGAAATTTTCAAGATCGAAGGAGACTACGTTTTGGAATTTTCCTGATGCCAGCTCGTGCCGGGCCCTGGTCTCTATCCAATTTTTGCATGCCATTTTTGGCATACTTTGCTTAGCTCTAATGAATAACATGTTTTCACATTTTTCTCACTCGAATCGTCTCAATAGCCTAACTATAAAGAACACACGTTACCTTGGCATAAATTTATAGGATTTAGGTCATAGATAAAAGCCAACAGCCTGGTATGGTAACTCGAGGACATAGATTTCACAGATATTTCAGCTCTTCGGACAAAAAATGAGCGTAGATTCCAAAGAAATAAGCGGTTAAGATGAAGCCTGTTTCGCCTATTGATCTATTAATTTTTGCGAATTTTTCTAGTGGAGAGAGGCGTCGAACTGGCAAGAATGTTGAATTAGCTGGCAACTGATTTCACCTAATTGATTCAACTTGATTCTGAACTGATTCAATTGATTTTAACAGCCTGAAAGCCTAATTTATTTTACTTTTGAGCGGGCTGGCATATATGGAGCGGTTAGCAAGTCGTCTTCAATCTTTTAACTGATTTTTAGACTGAGCAGAAGAAATGGCGCGTATAGTAGAACAAAATGCGTTTTCTCTTCGTATGATAGGGAAAGCCGGGAGGCCAGCTTGCATTAAGTGTTGTTACTTTGAGATATGTGCAATCCTTGTTCTTGTGTCTTACCCAGTTTGTACGTTTGTTCCAAAGGATGATTTACTCGGAAGAATGCAATCTGCTCAAAGGGGCCTTTTGGATGACGTGGACGGGAGAGAAGTGCAAGACCCACTGCACCTTCCACAACCTCCTATAAAAGCTTCATTACTGAAAGTATTCAAAAGTGAAAAATACCTCAGGCGATCCCTTTTTCACGGCAAAGAGCTCTTTCTGATGGTCAGGGATGAAATCGGTATACACATTACCCTAAAAGTGCTGATTAAGCGAATGTTGCAAGCGCTATCCATGCTTCACCTTCACAAACTCGGGATGCTTCAAAACAGTCCGCACAAAACTGATATTTGTAGGCAAGCCACTAATCAGCGTTCGAGACAATGCCGAATCCAGCTTTGCTGCAGCACTAGCACGATCTTCTGCCCATACAACGACCTCAAAAATTGTATCATACAGTTCAGATAGTCTAGCATTGATCAACTTGATACCTTAGCAATCATAGGGTCGTAGTGCACAGAAACTTCATCTCCGGAGACAACACCGGTGTCCACACGTGCGTCATTTGGGAAGGACACGTAGTCAAGTTTACCTTGAAATTGTGACCTGTGATTGCTCGGAAACTGAGACCAAGATAACTTACCAGCAGTGGGCATGAATTTCCCTCCCTCAGTGTCTTCTGCATATACTCTGCACTCAAATGCGTGACCTTTTAGTGGTATTTGGTCCTGTCGCAAAGGTAGTTTTTCCCCTTGAGCAATCTTCAATTGCCATTCCACAAGATCAGTACCTGGGTGAATAATTCATGCTGTGGTTTTCAAACGTATTCCACAAAAATGGACAGACTAACCAGTGATAGCTTCAGTGATTGGGTGTTCAACTTGTAGACGAGTATTCATCTCCATGAAGTAAAAATCACCCTTTGGATCTAGGATGAACTCGACTGTACCGGCTCCCACATAGCCGACAGCAGCTGCAGCCCGCACAGCGGACTCTCCAAGTCGAATCCGCGTTTCCTGACCGGAAAAAAGAGAAGTATCATTCAGGAAACAAAAATTGCGAGTGATTATAAGGGTCAAATCGAATTGCAGAAAAAGTAATTTGATCTGCGCGTTTAAAGAGAACGATAGAGGCTACAGTGCCAGGGAAAGATCTTTACTGGCCTTGCAATACGCACATTTTTACCCAAAGAAACTGGGTTGACTGAATGAGGATAGTGCAACTTACTAATGAGAGGCGCCGGAGCTTCTTCGATAATTTTCTGATGCCTTCTTTGAACAGAACAATCGCGCTCCCATAGATGGACGTAGTTATTATGATGGTCACCAAACACCTGCAAAAAACTTGTAAGTTACGACAAAAATAAAAAGATCCACTATCTAAACATCCAAAAGTTTTGAAGTGAAAGCATAAACAAAGACCTACTTCACTACTGCTTCTTTCTGAAAAAAAAGCAGAAAAAACATTCGTTAAGAGAAGTATCACAAAAAGTTACAATGATGACCAAAATATAAGAAAAATCAAAATTAAACGAACTGGTAGATAGAACTTTCATGACTACATAAGATCAAAACTCTAACGTACTTGCACTTCCACATGACGAGGCCTCTCGACAAACTTCTCAACAAGCATCTCATCATTTCCAAAAGATTTCATGGCCTCATTTCTAGCAGAGGCGAGCTTCTCGCTGAACTCCGACGGAGACCAAGCAATTCTCATACCTTGAAGTGCATGAGTAAAAACGATCTAAGGAGGCAAAGAAGACAAACGTACCCTTGCCACCACCTCCGTAAACAGCCTTGAGCATGACAGGATAACCTGGATGGAAAAGATTCCGAATACATAACTAGAGTTGAACACAATATAAACCTATTTTCTCCGCATGTACCCTCAAATTATCATCCGACTGGTCAGATCCATGAAAACCTTGAACTACGGGTACCTACAATTTCGTCGATACATATTTTCTATGCACGCAGACACGAAAACACCGGCGCTATTCCAGTATCCGGGCCCCAAAAATTTTTTGTCACGGATTTTCCTGAAACTTGGCCCAGAGGACTTATTCGGCCCGCTGATGCCAAAATCACATTAAATCTGTACCGTAGCGTCATTTTCTCGGGCTACGGTGGGTATACGGTAGTGGGTCAAAATCTCAAAATTCGCTGTAACTTCGCACAGAGGGGTTATTCGATACGCTGATGCCGAATATCATATTGGTTTTGTAACGGTAGCGTCATTTTCTCGGGTTACAGTAGGTACACGGTAACGGGTAAAAAACATAGTTCTGCCTGAAACGTATGGACGGCGATTAGGACGTCGTTAAACCTTGCACACGCGACCACCGCCGCGCGCTACACACCCTGCTGCGACTTTTGCCTAAGCAAAACACAGGGAGAAGATACATTTTTTGTGATTTTGACCTCTACCGTAAACCTACCTAGCCATGCAGGGAGACGTTTTCGGGCAGAGAAAGTGTGACATGTCTAATCAGCATGTCGAATAACCCCTCTGTGCGAAGTTTCAGCGAATTCCGTAATTTTGACCCCCTACCGTATACCCACCGTAACCCTAGATAATGACGCTACCGTCCAAAACCAACATGGTATTCGGCATCAGCGGGCCGAATAAGTCCCCTGGGCCAAGTTTCAGCAAAATCCATGACAAAAAAATTTTGGGGCCCGGATACTGGAATAGCGCCAAAACACCTTTGCATCTTGCATGATTTGCTTTGCAAGGCTCTTGGTGCCCATATCTCGGATAGCCTTCACAGGCGGTCCTATAAAGACAATGCCAGCCTCGGCACAGCGTTCAGCGAACTTGGCGTTCTCAGAAAGAAACCCATATCCAGGATGGATGCCCTTGAAGCACATGATCAACTAAACTGTATATTCAGGCGTACCGTACCTGAGCACCAGCAGAAAGAGCTGTATCGATGATCTTATCAATATTCAAATAGCTTTCCGCCGCTGCTGGTGGGCCAATATGAAATGCCTATAAAGTCTGCATAGTGACTTAATTCATCTAAGAAGTTCTATTCAAATTGCCTTATCAGCTTTTTTGACAAAAAGCGCATTCCTGTCCGCGTCAGAGAAGACTGCCACGCTTTCGATACCCATTTTCCGGGCACTCTTCATAACACGAATGGCGATTTCTCCTCGATTGGCTATGAGGACGCGACTGATTTTTTTGACTAGTGGGGCATTGACTGATGACATCAATCGTTGCAAGTACTTGGAATTTCCACTAGCTCGAAGCATCCTGCAATCACCAAATATCAAATCCCAGAAGTTCCAAAAGCCTCGCGTTCCAAATGCATGACTCCCACTCTAGAAGCAGGTAAAACTCATCCGCTTAGTTGCTTCATGATTGGTTGAAACAGTATTTAACGAGTCATGAAGCACCTAAACTTAGCGGATAAGTCTGATGCCTGCTATAAGCACTGTATCTTCACATTCGACTGTATATTCACCTCAGATGTCTGGTTGAGAAAATCAAGATTGAACCTATTTACCGTACCCCTCTAAAACTAGACCATCGCAAGGTTCGAAAGCAAAGTTTAATATTTGGGTTACAGTGGCAGTAACAATGCAATAACAGTGAAGTAGAGGATAAAGCAACATTATGTAAATAGCCGAAAGTGGTGACAAAAAATTTATTAGCCATAACTCTCAAACAAAACTGATGAGTAGCAATCAAATCCTGGAACTTTGACCCATGCTTAGAGCTGTGAAAATGTGTTACAGAATGCGAATAAACACAAGTGTATCCAGAAGTTATTCAAACATTCTCGCACTACACAACCACTTCAAGATCAAAAAATTAGTCTTGGCTTACAATCAGGAAACCTTACATCTTACAAACGATAGTACAGAACAACTCGACATCCATTTGTTACATACAGCTATGACAAGAAATACTATTGAACATTTAAAGCTAAGCGAGCAAACAAACTCCGCAAAATCATAACATTTAGGTATAAATACTGCTTACAATGGAATACTGTACTCGCTGCGGTTGTGGGATAAATTCTAGCCAGTCGGAAGGTGTATTAGGCAAGAGACCCATGGTGTGTACCTGCAACATCTTGCTATAGTTCTATGAAATTTGAGCCGATACGTTCTTCGCTAGATGCTGAACAATGAGTATCGATAGTGTCAAATGTCACAAAACAGGAATTAGTAGGGAATTATCACATGAAGTTCAAACAAACCTTGTAGATAGCGAGAGCTATAGCTCCAAGATTTCCAAGAATAAAGATAATTTTATGGACAATCATGCTTCCAGTGTTTTGATCCTAGAGTAAACTATTCATAAGAACGAGTTTTGAAAGAAAGCGAAGCACCTCTAAGGGTTTGAATGTAGCGTTGACAGCAAACAGGGCTTTCGCTGGACGCCACAGCATCATCCCTACCATCATGATTGGAAAGATCGACACCTGAAAATTCGTCTCCCACTCAACTCTGTGCTAATATCCACCTGCTCCATTATGCATGATAGATGCGGATCAAACCCAACTCACACTTCTTCCTGCCATGTACATCATGAACATGTTCATAGGAAGGCTTTTGGCTGGGGCCATTGCAACATCCCACGCACGCTTCTTAGCCAGATGCTCTTGCTGCTCCGAAGCTTGTTCACTGTCCACCTTCAAAAAAAAAATCAGCATAGCTTATCTGAAACAAAAGCGGCAAGTAGAAAAACTTGCATGATGTTGGGCAGAAGTTGCACCTGAGTGGAAACCGGGCGGATTGTACGCACTGTCAGCTGTTCGGCAATTCCGAGATGAACCACTATAGTCAAGTTTCCACTGAGCAAGTGACATTCTATAACATAAATAGCTAATAAGCTGTGGTGATATACTTCTCTTCAAAAAGCCAAGGAACAGCATCCTATACAGCAAATGGAAAAATCATAAAATAAATCTTTATTAAACATTCAAAGAAATTAGAACATCTGACAATCATTCAAAAACATACATCGGGAACAACTGACATGCTTCAAACTACCGGCAGAGAGATTATACATAGAAAGATCGTAAGCCACAAAGAACGTAAGCAAAAGAATGACCTGTAAACAATAGTAATCCACAATTCTGCTATACAATAAAATGGGCGGATACTACAACAAAATCACCCACGACTGCTTACAACTCGGGAAATACTAGACGACTTGTGTACTTCTCAGTTTTATCGTTAAATGCGTAACCGAGGCAGTAATGGTCGAGAAGTTGTCGTAAAAGTTCCATTTCGTCCAGGTGCTCGATACTCTCTATCCTAAGCAAAGTAAGATAATTAAAAAATAATACAAAACAGTCCCGAACAAAAGTCTTACCTGGATACTTCATTTTTAGGCAAGAGCTTCTTATAAATCGTATTCATATCCAACACCGTAACATTGTTCCAACCATTATCAGTGAATCTAAAAAGAGCAGAACCTTTGATAGAAGAAGAAGTTAAATATTGATTTGGTAATTTTATAACCCAAACCTAAGCTTGCGAACATACCTGGATTTCTGCGAATCGATGTCACCACAAGCAGGCAAACCAGGAAGAAATATACCTCTTTGCTCCAAGTTTTTCTGCATAACATTTCCAAAAGCATCTTTTATGCGCACCTAAACAAATCTTTTATTTCGAAGGCAAAAAAACATGGAGATTAACCTGCTCATAATTAATGAATGCGACAGTATCGAAAAATTCAGCAATGTGTTTGAGAAGCTCTGCGCTTTGGTCCACAGATATGTAGACGAGAACGCACCTAAGGTCAGAAATTCACAACAGTGAGGTTTAAATATGAATGAGACTTACTCCGCTAGAAATAGTGTTGGGAGTTTGGTATCGATTCCGACAGATTCCAATTTCGCCTTGAATTCGGCCCATTGACGAAGATCGGCGCCAACGAGGTGATAGTCACCACAATGTAAATCGGTATGTTGTGACTCCTTAGCTGTATAAAATCGGGTTATTCACAATTTACAAAACAAGGAATTTCAAAACTAAAACCATTATACATCTTTATGTAGCAAAAATGAAATCTACTTACGCGGTTCACTGAAAAGGCTGACCAAGTCCGGAGTTCCAGGTTTACGAATCTGACGGATTTTCTTAGCGGTCACAGAGCTGAAATCAACGTCCACAAACTTCTTCACTGATTTACCAGCCGACTTAAGTCGCCAATATAGAGTATCGAATCCACATCCTAGGAGCACAAACTAAGTAGCGGAAGTAAAGGAAAATTGCGCAAAGCTTTCAGTTTGAACGAGGAATAAATTCAGCTCAAACAGAACAATAAACTGCAGGACCAACGACGGAGAATTCCTAATTCATTAGCAAATAGAGGAAAAAACACATTGAAATTTTCTCAGGAGTGATGATTGCGAAAGCTCAATTTCAACCGAACATGGTCGATGACCACAGAAAAGCAGCACCTGCGGCGAAATCACTAAAAATCCACTAAAGATTCACTCACCAATGCTGATGATTTGGCACTGCCCTTGTGTCTTTTCTATGAAGCGTTCGACGAGCAGATTGACAGCGGACACTCGTGCCCAATATCCAATCGAAATTTCAGGATCACGACGAGAATTTTGATCAGCACCGCACGAGTACGCGAAACGAGGCAGAAAATCATCTTTCCAATAACCAAGCTGAAAACTTATGAGATGCCAAAAAAGGCAAGAAGGTATTTCCGCATGCAAATGCCAAAATGAATGTGATGTGGGAGTATACAGATAGAGATAAGAATGAAAGAGTCGCACATGTAGGTTCCCTGACGGTACGGATATGATGTAAAATCAGCAAGACGTCCAAAAATGAAAATTCTGATTGAACATCAGATATCTTCAAAGAACCGTACACCCAGAATGGAGAAAGTCTGATAAGAATTCGATGCAGTACAACAACAGGCGATAACTAGGTAACTGTCCAATTCTCACAGCAAAGGGAGAATTTTGATTTCCGCAGTTTGCACCAACAAGGGAAGCTACCTAACTTACAAGGGAATGGTCAGAAGTCGAAGTGGCCAAACCAGAGAAGCTGTATATCATTCGATGCAGTATAAAACGCTGACTTCGAATCTGTCTTCCTTATCTGCTTCCCGCTTCTGTGGACGAAGCTACAAGCGGTTTTATTGTGAAAAAATCATACATAAAAACATCGAAATTGAGCACATTGTTGCGCATTTAGCTCAGCTTCTGGCTTCAAAAATTTTAAGTAAGCTAGCGGCATGTTTTGACCCAGCACTGAGGCGAACGTCGCTCTGTACGGCTAAATTTCCAATTTCACGCATAATTTCTTAGCAAAATAATGGTCTTTAATGGCTTATAGCTTCGTCGAGCAAAGCGATAAGCAGATAATGAAGACAAATTTAGAGTCAGCGCTTCATGCTGCATCTAACGCTACGCTGCTTGTCTGGAATGGCCACTTCGATTTCTGACCATTTCCTTGTTAGTTCGGCCTTTTGGCAAGTGACATACATGTTCTAAATCAGTTTTGAACGCTGATTCAGAATATGCTATTTTTAGCTGCCATATACCATTCCGAAGCGAGTTATGGGCTTTTTCCTGCGCAAAATTGGCATGCTCATCGACTCACGGGCATCACGTCATCATCATTTAAATGCTGTTACGCCTGCGTTAAGCTTTTTTTATTGAGAAAAGATTGAAATTGTATTACTTCGATACCTCAGCACCTTTTTCTTGCAGATTTTTATCTACAGGCAGTCTTCTCATGTTCGGTAGTATGTCAATTTTGCGTAGGAAAAAGCCCATAACTCGCTTCGAAATGGTGCGTGGCAGCTAGGAATAGCATATTTGGAATCAGCGTTTGAAGCTGATTCAGAATATATATGCCTTTTACCAAAAGGCCAAGCTAAATTAGGTAGCTTTCCTTATAAGAAAAAAAATGCGACACCGCACATTTTAGCCCCCCCCCCCAGGATGGATTAAATTGAGATAAAAACTTGTGACCGAAATTTAATCAACACACCGAGGTATATGTACCTTGAGAATGCATACCCGTATCCCAAGGCATGCTCAATAAATTGCTCACTTGCTTATATCTTAAAGTATGTGAAACATACCAATCATCAGTCCGTAACGAACATCCTTCAGGGTAAAACCTTGAGGTGATGCTCAACCACTGGCTTGAGATACAAATTCAAGGTATATTTTACTTTGCTCCATGCTAAGGTGAAATTTACCGTGAATTTGCACCTTGAGCCAGTGCATTAATACAAGGTAAATTTCCCTTTGAGGTATGTAGGTAAGACGGTTCAATGTTTCATGATTAGTAAGGTATTTTTACATGTAATAGTTTGAGATCAATGCAACTGATTGAGCATACCTTGTGAATAGGGTATGCGCTCTCGATATTGTATGCAAAGGTTATCGATGAAGGTAACAAGTTGTTGACTGCCACTGATCATGAGCGTGACTGATATGGAGCGGGCCATCGCGGGCTACGACCCAGATGGAAACAACAGATTTCCAAGCAGCGGTATGTTCCATGATACCTTTAGTATATGCCACGATGAGCAAATTAAAATAAGTTCGTCCGGAACACCACTTAATGAAGAATTCTAGGCTTAGACGCGGTTTCTCGCTCCAAACTTCCATAGCCCCCCACTTGCTGGGACCTGCCTTTAAGTGTTAAGAAGGAAGGCCCAGCAATATACTCTTCAAAAAGAATCTGGAGAAATGAACAAAGAAAACAGATGGTCAGTACCTGAACAGCGGCAAATTTGCATTGCGTCGCATCATCATTGGTGCGTTGTACCGAATAGTCGTCTGAAAACGAATGAGAACGGCGTCGCATGGAAACGGAGGCCGAGAGAGTTTCATCGGAAAAAGAAGCCTCAGGGTCCATCGCGGTAAAATTCCTGTAACGGAAGACATGTATAAACGCGCAATAACGGAGTACATTTACGAAGCAGTACGGTAAATTATGTTATGTTTTTGACATTAGTGTGGCACAACTGTCAAAATCAAAAATTCTCCGTTAAATAAGAAGGACCAAAAACTTTGCTGGCAACTAAAGACAAATATGCGATGATCGCCGTAAGCGCGGTCTCTGTCGTTCGACTCACGACACCGGCTGCCGACCAGCCAGGGGGTTAGAGCCGCATGAATTCGTTTTTAGACTTCTTGAGAACGAAGTCCCCTTGAATTTCGCGAAATTTTGCGAACTCCCCTTTGACTCCCAGCCCTAAAAAAAAACCCTCAAAAAAGTAAACTTCGACTAAAAAACATTGCATTTTCTAGCCACGAAAACGATATCCCTTTTTTTTCGCCTCAATAATCAGCCTGCTTCCATACGATCTGGGCCCTACCGGGGTGGGGGAACGAACACGGGTAGGGAAACGAACACCTCAACTAGGCACCGCCTCCACTGGTCCCAAAACGATGCATAACAGTAGGAAAGGACCTCCCGCGAAGCGGATTATTCCGGACCTGAGGTCCCGCGCAGAATCAACGTTAATTCTGTGCGCTTTTTGCAGTTGAACGAAGCTGAACAAAATATTCGCTTACTCTGGCACCTACCTAAGCCGCTGGTTCAATGCTGTATGAATCACGAAGAAAAGCGAAAAAAAAGACTTTCTGCTAATATCAATTGGTGCAAATTACGCTATGGCTAATTTGATGAATAGCTTCACTCGAGAACTTATCAAAATTCGAAGGTGTTGTTGGCAACTTTATGACTTTGCACATTCGAAAGCCATGTCGAAACTCTTTTCGAGGCAATAAAACTTACAACGCATGCAACTGTTTGTAGGACCACTAAACAGTTCAGTACCACACTTCCTAGCGCTCTACAAAAAATTGTTCTTATTAAAAAAAGTGAAATTGCGGGAAACCGCGCTCTCCCGGCGAACGCTCCTGCAAATGTATAGGCCGTCCGCGCTGCGCGCGGAGAGCAAGGCTGTTGCGTACATCGAAGGCAGTTCACGACTGGAAGAAGCGCAGAGAAAAACAGACGGCGAGAGTGTACGAGGAAAGACGAGTGACGCGCAATACACACCTTGCGCACTCTCCGCGCCCTGCGCGGACGGCCTATAGCACCTACAGATTACTGGTTCACAGTATCACTCATCGAAAGTATCCAAATTGCCCAAATTTGAACAATTTGGTTATTCGTTAACCTAAGTAAAGCTATCTAATTTACCGTTGCTATAGACAGAAATGTATTCTTCAATTCTGCCTTTGTTCCTCGAGACAGACTGGGGTTTGCTTCACAGTAAGGGGCACCAATTCTCCGGGGAACGGAACATAGGAACCGCGCCTGACTAAGCTCTAATCGGGCAGTGCCTGGATGATGCAATCATAATCACTGTCTCCAATTGCTCCTTAAGGCACAAAGACATCCAAACTTTTCCCCCCACCTTTTTTGGAACATGGGCAAGGAGTGCTGAATATTCCTTTGGGACTTCAGGTCACTGAAAATGGCTAGTCAAAACCTTTCGAAATGGTCGTAAGAAGCTGAAATTAGGCTTGAACGGAAGAAAGAAACGCGCCGTAATCAGGAGCTGATCTACTTCTACTTTTGAACAGATTTCTTTCGTTACTTCGTTTGAATGCTAGACTTTGAAGAAAACAACTCACTCCGTTCACGCTGGAAAGCTATAGCTGGAAATGAACATATTGTACTCCTGCGGTTGTCAATATGCCAGACATAAAGTCTTATTTTTTGAAGAGGTATGTTCTACACTGGATTAAAAATAGTGTCGAGCAGTAAGAATTAGGGCATACAGAGCTCCCAGCTTTTTTTTAAACTTTTGAATATCATCATAGCGTAAAAATAGAATTTAAGAGAAGTTTGACCTACGCAGCGCATGTGGCGGCACAACCAATCGTTCATGCGGGCTGGGTGCGTGGCGTTAGGTACCCAGCCGGGTGCGGGCGTAAGGTACCCAGCCATAAGTGGTACACACTAAGCCACGCCCCTCGGTTGCTTTAACAGTAGGTACCTAACGATACACCAAATCCTAGCTGCTAGAACAGCTCACCTAGCTCGCTAAAGCGCTGGCGCTTGCGACTCACAGAAAATGATAGTTCGAGAAAATCAAAAAAAAATTGCGCGAATGAAAGCACAATTTTATAACGCTTTTTCTATTGCTTCTTTTTTAAATCCATTTCAGAACCGCAGAAGGTCGGTGCTGAAAACTAAACAGGGTAAACTTTTTATGAGCAGCTTTAGCAATTCACATGATTTTGCAAAAAAAATCATGATGATTTGAACCGATAATATTAGCGGGAATTTCATAAAAGTTAATTTTGTAGGATAGCAATAAATCAAAATTTTATAATTTTAATGAAGCAAAGCGCACTTTCGGATGCGCTTTTGGCAAATAAGTTGCACGAAATATTCCTTTCACATATTGTCGTCAGGCTCGGTTTGAGGCGTAAAGTCAAGGGTCGCAGTATTTGCGTCTATATTGCCACAGGGATTGTGCTATGTTATTGTAGACCAGTGCGCCACCTCTGCTTCGCAGAGGTTCGCACTGGCTCTACTATCTATGTGCCTTACTCATTCTCGTAAAATCGTGGCAATGAAACTCACCGCGCTATGCCGACTACCACGAATAAAATGTAAACAACTTTTCATTTAGGAAGCTTTTTCACGTGAGATCGGTGATTTCGTGTGGATGAAACTTTTCGCAGAAAGACAGACGCAAATTTGAATAGGTTTCTGAATTTGTCATGGCTTGGTAGTTCACCATAAAGGCAATAGTGACCATGCTCTACATTTCCGTACGAAAATTTTCTCAAATGCTTGAGTAGAACTTTAGCAAATTGACCATTTACGCAGCCAATTCTTTTTGGCGCCGTTTTCGTTATGTAGTAAACTTTTGACCACTTTTCGGGCTAAATTCCATCGCTTGCACATTTGCTTACCAAACGCATCCACCACTTTGCAAAAAGTGGTGATACGGACCCAATTTTGCGGGATAAAAGCCAGGTGGATCTGTTTGGCGCGCAATTTTCGAGGGACCCACTCAACGAATCTACTCGTGCTTTTGCATACTGGGCTTTCATGAAGGTAGCATGCGCTATGCAAAATTTGGGCTTAAAAGGTTGGCTGGAAACTGCTCTGTGAATTTCGTAACAGACACACTCTCACACACACACACACACAAAAACACGTAAACACCCTTAGCCCGTTATTATAAGTTATGATTATTGAGGCTATTACTTTAGTCATAGTTAAGGCCAACAGATTTATGGAATTTTACACTGATAAGCATACATTTTTCTTTATTTCGGAAGATTTCACATCCCGTATGAAAATTCCATTGAGCTACTATATTTTATCATACCTATGCTCTCTGCAGTGCTTCTTTGGAGGACTTTCATATTGCAATTGTTTCATATTCATTCTCTTTTCTAGCAGCCAAATGCTGTTTATCCAACCAAAACCATAAATTTTTCGTAACTCACTAAAAAGCGAAAGATTTTGTCAATAAATGTTCTAAGTGTTGCTGCTTTTTCCTGTCCGAAATTGGCTAGCTCTGTAACTGTAATTTAAAATTGCTCTCCTTGCAATCGGTTCCACTCCTCATTGTCAAAATTGTCTTTTTTGAAACAAAGGAATACTCCGTGCAACTTATTTGCCAGGAGCGCATCCGAAAGTGCGCTTTGCTTCAGTAAAACCATAAAATTGATTCATTGGTATTCTACAAAGTTTACTTTTATGAAATTTCCGCTAACATTTTCGGCTCAGATCATCACGATTTTTTGCAAGACTTTGTGAAGTGCTCATAAAAAGTTTACCCTGCTCCAATTTTCAGCACCGAGTTTCTGTGATTCTAAAATGGATTGAAAAAAAGCAAAGCGTTGTAAACTTGCCCTTTCACTCGCGCAATTTTTTTGATTTTCTCAAACTCTCATTTTTCTGTGGGTCGCGAGCGCCAGCGCTTTAGCAATCTATGTGAAGTGTGTAGCAGCTAGGATTTGGTGTATCGTTAGGTACCCACAGTTGAAGCAACCAAGGGGCGTAGCTTAGTGTTTACCACTAATGGCTGGGTACCTAACGCCCGTCCCCCATGCGGGCTGCCTCCCCCCTCCGCCTCCGTGAAAAAACACCAGTGGTAGCTACACACGATTTGGAGCTATAAAGCCGCAGGGATGAGTGGAAGATGTGCCGACCCCAGAAGTACATTTAACGATAATTTCTGTCCACCAATAGGGTCACGAAATTTTTTTCTTCTTACATGATTTTCAGGGTTCAAAGCAGGACTTCATCATTCCCTCAAACCTGAATTTTTTCTTCCATTCACACATACTTCGTATTTTATTGAGAAATTTTGACTTTTATCTCATAAGGGAAGGATACTAACTTAGATTCGCCTTTCGAGATGGGATACATATATCTGGAATCAGCTTTGAACGCTGATTCCAATGCTGTTCCTAGCTGCTTAGCGTTATTCCGAAGCGAGTTATGGGCCTGCTGTTGTGAGTAACTACGGAACTTCTAAATGTCGTAAGACGGCGTGTATATAAAAATCTGCTCGAAAAAAGTGCTAGGACGTTTGAATCGCATCAGACTCTTTCGATCTTAAAAGGGAGCATTATACAAATGCAAAACCACCTAGACGTCGACACCGCAGCGTCAGTAGGTCGAGGAGCACGCAAACTTTGCAGAGAAAAGAGACAATATCTCGCTTCAGAATAAAGCTAAGCAGCTAAGAATAGCATATTTGAAATCAGCGTTCCAAGCTGATTCCAAATATATATATGTCTTTTCTCAAAGGGCGAATCTAAGTTAGTATCCTTCCCTTGTCAGATGGAAGTTGAGTTCTATATTTTTACAGCTCGCGTTCAACTTTCAATCTGGACTAAAGCAGTTTTTATTTCATTTTCTACTTCATCAAAGAAGTGCTCTCGGTTTGAAATGCAGTGTAGAAGCTTGCTTGCATATATTATGTTTGATCTCTTTTCTCAAACTATGTTTTCTCGGTTCTTCTACTTATACCCAATTTCGAATTTTCTTTTCCTAAGGAAATTTTCTGTTGCTTGTCCAAAATCCAGCATTAAAAGATTCAAACAAAAAATGTCCTATTCAAATAGTAGAGTGTGACCGGCTCCCAGATTCATGTGGAGGCGGGTTGCGGACTTCCCTGATTTCAAGGAAAAGCTTAACGAAAGAGTACAAGCACAATGCCATAGAATAGGGGTTTGACAAGTTTATCCTGAAAATTAGGGAAGCCGCAACCCGCCTTCCCACAAACCTGAAGTCGATGATACTTTTTGATGACATGCAATTTTCTCTTTTGTTTGGGTTTCATTTCATTTTGTACGATTACTTTGAAGGTTTATGGCTAAAAGCCAGTTCCATGACCTGACAGTCCGTACAGCTTTACTTGGCCATGTTCCAAACAGGCTAGGTAAGGAGAAGCTTGGGTCTTTGTTGCGCTTCTAGGGGGCAATCGGAGACAATGAGTATGATCCTATTCCACAGGCACAGCCTGACTCCAGCTAAATAGTCTCACTTTTTGTGTTCCCGCACCCCGATTCTTTCACCGTTTGTACAAGAACGAAGCAAACGCATTGAGTGATATAAGTGACAGTGGTAAAAGAGTTCAAGAACGTTAAAATATATCGCAGGTGGTAGATACATAAATTTGCTTTATTCAATTTATAGAGTTAGACAGCATCGCAAAATGCAGCGCACAGTGCACATCAAAATCCATACAACTATCAAAGTTTGCAAAAAGAAGTCTTAGTGAGATATGCAAATTCTAGTTCTAATCTCCTATTCCTAACCTATGACGTGTCAGCGATCCGCTTTTTCAAAAACTGAACTTTCTCAGCAGTAGATCCCAAAGCAGACAAATCGCTGTGCAAAACTACTATGGGCTTTGCTCCTTTACTTCGCAGGAGACGCAATGAGAGTTGGTCCCACCCAAGAAGGGTGTTACTTTCTGTTCTAGCAACATCCGAAGCAGTCTGGAAATACACTTCTTTGAAGAGCTATGTAGATAGGAAGGTTACCAACATAAATTGGAAATTGAAGACGATATGTATATCATTAAACGCGCCTCCAAACGCTGATTCCGAATCTGTTTTCCTTTTTGGCAGAACAGTTTCAGAAAGAAGTTATAAACGTTCGAAGGTCCAAATTTGTCAAGCTTTGAGTGGCCTAAAATTTGCGAAAACCCTGTACAAAAACATCTAAAAGTGAGTTCAATAGATTTCATTGTGAAGTATATTGTTTGCAAGAAGGGAAGGAAGCCGGTGGAAATTTCCGTAGGTGTTTCGTAGAGCTTTTCGCCAATTTTAAGCCATTTGGTACCTGACAAATTGAAGCATTCATACTCTCATAACTTCTTTCAGAGAGTTGCTCCGCAAAAAGGAAAGCAGATTTTGAATCAGCGTTTAGAGAGCGCTTAATGATATACATACCGTTTTCAAATGCCAACTTATGTTGGTATTCTTCCCTAGTAAGAAGGTCACGACCAACCTGTTTTGTTTGTCCCCAACCAAAGAAAATGATTGGTCGCGGCATGCTCGCACCCCACTTGCTGATAGGTACTAGTCGAGTACTATCCTAAAAAGCAAAGCGCCATGGAGAGTACGGAACCAGTGCTTCTGACCATGAGGAAAGACCACTACCTTCTCACAAACTATCTGAGCATCAACCAGTGTCCCTGTTTCGTCTATACAAGAAGGAGAAATGTGGGTTGATGGAGAACCCATTTTGAACACAACATCAGAGAGGAAATGATTACAGACTTCCACATCCTTTCTTCCATACTTTATCAGTCGCGCCTGCCTCGTCTGAAACGTGGATTAACAGATATGATTGTGCCATGATTGTCCTGTGTCAAGGTGATTGACCAATGTATAGATTGGAAGTAGTCCTTGGCATGATCATATGCGTACATATGAGAAAATACTGCTCGTATTTTTGAAAAAATACGACGCACTGTCGTCCGATTCATGTGACACATCACCGTAGCGTGGCCATACCTCGCTTCAGAGTGGACGAATTCTCAATCAAAAAGCACCATTCGACTCAGCTCGGCGCGGCGCATCTTTTAATATGCAAAAGTGCCTGTTTGAACGCAGCAGGAGGTCAGATTCCAGGAACCGTTTCAGATTTTTGCTTGCGGTAGGTTACTCAATGTGCTCATTCGTTAAACTCACTGGCTAACCTACCACAAGCAAAAATCTGAAACGGTTCCTGGAATTTGACTTTCTGCTTGTCCAAGCGAGCACTTCTATAGATCAAAAGATGCGCGGGCCGAGCTGAGTCGAATGGTGCCCTTCAATCAAGAATCGTCCATCCTGAAGCGAAAAGTGGCCACGTTACGGTGATGTCACATGAATCCGGCGTTTCGCGTCGTTTTTTCGAAATCATGAGCGGTATCGTACTCGAAGACGATCTCAGATCGGTATAGTGGGAGGCGCGACATAAATTCTCAAATAAAGAAACATGACGTAGCCAAACTCTTCCAAAAATTCTAGGATGGCTCTCCAATTTTTACAAGCTGCAACCTATTTTGGTAATTTTTGGCCAGTTTGCTGACTCATGTAGACCATTTTCAAAAAGTCCGCGATGTCTTGGGAGTCGGAAATGAGGGAGGTGAGTGGGAGCTTTTCTGGGGGATCTAGAGGTGACAACAACATTATTTCCAGCCAAAGGCATAGCAGTAACTATGTCCTCAAAACAGCTTTCAGGAGCTCTTCAAATTTTTCAAAATTTATTTCTCGACTCATGTCTTACTCTTCCTCTCTCAACCGCGTCCTTTTTGCTCATAAATCACTGAATTTCTAGAACGAAGGATCAAAATCGGCATCGTATATATTTTAGCACATGGCTACCGCCATCTTTTCGCAAGATTGCAGGCACGATTTCGCAGAAGATATACCAAAAAATTCCTGGAAGATCCCTCGAAAAAATTTTTTGTTGCTCCCCCCCCCCCCCAAAGAAAAAAATTTGGACCCAGAGGGCATCTAGGCCTGATGAGGATACGGACATTTCGAAACATTTTTGAGCAAGTTTGGTTTTTACCTTTCATGGCGTAGAGAGACTTCAGCATCTACATGGATTTAAGACATGGATTTGATTCACTGATTAGCATTTACAACTCACTGCTTCATCGTCAAGCTGAATGAAGCGCTTCAGTTCAGCGAGCCCCACCCGAGGACCGGTGTAGGACTTCCCGAGATCAATTTCAGCACAAGAGCTTATCTGAAGCAATTTCATTGCTTTGAAGAGTTTTTCTCCGACAGACCTAAAAACATGTTGAGGCGAGGACATATCAATTTTACTTTCTATAATAATTTCATGCAAATGCATTGTACATTGTTGGCTTACTTGGAAGACTGTAGGAGCTGTGAGACAAAGTCCGCATTCAACGCAGACTCTGCTAGTTCTGGAGTTAGCACACGAAAGAATGCAAGCGAGTGAATAGTGCTGAGCCAGACGTTCTGAGAAGGAGCAGTCTCTCGACGAACACGCTGTGACAACTTTACGGCTGCAGGACGACATTCCTAAAACTGACTGGACCTACCAAAACATTGCTAAAAAAGAATTTTTGCACACCTCTACGCCATTTCTGGCCATTCCCGCTACTATGATCGAAAGTGCATCAACAGGAGCGGAATTTGCGTGACTATTGACCCAAACTGCGAGTGCATTCCATGCATTCATCTCACCTAAGCGTAACCTGCAAATACACCATATGACACAGTCCTATGGTTGCGTTTGGAGTTGCATGCCGGAGCCGTGCTAGCGCCGTGCCAGCGCCATGCCTAATCCACGTACCGCGCCCAAGATCAATCGATCGAGGTTCCTGCACGGCCCCGGCCTGGCAACTCTGGACGCAGTTCAAGGGACTCAGTAAAAAAATTACCTGCTGAACGAATCTACAAGGGAAGAAACATCTGACCAATTTCGCAGGCTATTCACATCATGGAGCAGATCCTTAGAAAGACGTCGAAGCACCCGCGCATCAAAGTAATTCAACTTTGTGCAAGATGCGGCTAGCGAAACTAGCTGTCGAACAGATAAGGCGGAATGATGACTGGAAAATATACCCACAATAAGCTGCAAGAATATCTACTTTTGTTAACTATCGAGCTATCACCAACTCTGTAATTCTTGCCGACAGAAGCGGAAGCAATTTTTTGTCGCGAATGTGTCTTTCGGCTAGCTTATTCATCAAAGAGCACATCTCTCCAACGGTGAGTGCACAACAAGACATGTCGCTTCCGAGTAGTTCTATAGTTCGCACAACAGCAGCTCGTGAAACCTCCTTGTCATTCGCATCCCAGTGAGTGAGCACCGCAATGAGAACGCTAGCACTATCAACTTCTCTAAAAAGCCTTTCAAACGACGTCAACTGATTCGGAATACTGACAATTACCTCATTTGCGTAAGTAGAACTTCTTTTAAAGATACTTTGAGCTCATTGGGAATTTCAGTTCCGCTACGGTTACATGCGATCACATATGATAAGACGGAGTCCAGCGTAAGATCAGCTTCATCTAAAAAATTGTTCACAAAAATGATGTACTATCCCAGAACGCTAAACTGCAGTTTGCCCAAAGCATTTCTCTGGCGTTGGTCAAGAGCCATCCTGCATGGGGCGCGGTAGCGGAAGCAGTCTGGGCGCACCAACTCACTAGCGCCGAAAATTTGCGGATACATTCGAGTGATTACCTTACCTTCATGGCAGTGGTCGACCAAGGGGGCCCTATTTGTAGAATTTCAGGGTTTTGGGCTATCGTATTTTAGAATCATTTCGTAAATTTTCGGAGTGAGTAGCTGACGCCAAGATTTTTTTCGAAGTGCGTGGACGACGCCAAGAACCTTCACTTGAAGAAAATTTTTGTCGCGTCCCAACCCTCGCCCTCGAGATACATTTCGCTGACCGCCATTGCTAACCCGGTCCTTCATAATCACGGTGATCCCAGTCAGCACGATAAACAGTACCTCTTTCTTCAGGTAAGCAAAATGCCAGCATTTCAGGCGTTGGTCGCCCACACACAAATTTTGTCGCCCAATCTCGGCACCTCAAAACTTATTTACCGTCAGATCTACCAGCCGATCCACATGCCCTTTCTAATTCGTTATTGTTTTTTCGTCGCTCCAGCGCCGTACAAAATTTTTTTTTGTATGGCCCGATATCAAGAACCATGTTCATAGGGTGACAAGTTCAAACTCATCAAAAGACTGATCTCGTCTATGTCGTACGCCTTGGAAAACGTAAGCACCTTAAAGAAATACATCTTAAGCATAGCAAGAGTGACTAATGCATGGCTACCGCATCGCTTCATTTCATTCAACTTTTCTTGCCTTCTAGCAGCAGAGGCTATAGTTCGCGGGTAGAAAATTTGTACACACCTAAGTTATCAAGTAATTTCTTTTGTGCATTCTGATATAGCTCTTCCTTTTCAAGACCAAGGTCCAACAAAGCAGTCATCATTGTTAGGAGGTCATCATTCACTGCCATCTCAGACACAACCCGTTGTTTGGGTTCTTTCGCATAGCTGAAAAATGATATAAAAATGTGATTTGACCTTTACGAATGACATACTTCCTGATGAGCTCTCCTGCAGAACTTTTTTCATTAGTCAATAGCAGAGCGGATTTCAATACTTCTAAAAAGTCGGAAGGTTTGAAGTGATCCTTACGTCCTTCAAGTAACTGAACGGATATTTTAGGTAGTAAGCAATTTACTTTGAGTATCAACTCACCCTTTGCAGGTCCTTTATACTGGCTATTTTTGCAGAAATGGATGGAGATTTCTCTGGTGCAGAAAGCTCGTTTTCCACAGATAGTGAATCGATCAGACCTAAACAAGGAATAACTACCATAGATTTTGACTACCATCCTCAACGATGATAAATCTAAGCTAAGTAGATGCAGCGCAAGCAATGTCAAGTCTAGTTCCACACGAAAACGGATACTTTTGCCCAAGAAGTGCTGGGCTGTTCCCAGATAGATGCCCTTTGACCCAACGAAATGTCGTCCGCCGTGCAGATGGGATTCCAAGCTGCCCCTTTCTTGGCCCCTGTGCCGCTTGTGTGGACGTATTCTCCAGACATTCCACTACGTCCACAAACCTTCAATCTCATTCAGGCTGGGCCAATTTTTTGAGAATACGAGCACCGTAATTTCTATACAACTGCGATATTTGTTGAATTTACCATATCAAATCAAAAAAAGCAATAATGCGATATTCAAATTTAGTGAGGAATTCTCTCAAAATGGACAAATTGGGCTGAGACAGAAAGAAAGTTGAAAAAAGAGGTAAAATGGAAGCAAAATCTCCAAACTACCCTAGTAGATGCATCCGAATAGCTTTCGCTTGTATAATTCAGCCACGATTCATTGTTTGGATCATTGAATGATACAGGTTAAGAATTGCTTTCAAGAGCAAAATCGAGCAATGCAAATCGTAGATATTAGGTGGGCCCGAAAGTCCTTGCGGGATCCAAACGAAATTCAATTTTCCAAATACTGAACCTAAAATCATACTCTGGTATCCTAAAAATAGTAGAAGGTTCGGGCCCCATTAGAGGGGCAAACTAATCTTCTATATGTTACCAAGAACGACGCTTGCAAAATGGCGTTTTTTTTTTGCGATTTTGTGCTCTGAAATGGAAAATTGTGGAGGGCCGTTAGCCAATCTAAACGAACCTTTGAAAATTACTCACACAGCAGAAGTCTAGACGTTATTGTGCCAGGCTTCAATCTCGTACCGTAAAAAGCAAACAAAGTATTTATAAAAAATGTCAACTTACAGAAAAATCCCCTCGTCACTGCACTTCTTCAGCGAAAACACTTTTAGACGCTTCAAAAAACCTCAGAGGGTTTCAAACAGGGACTATGTCTAATTTCTGGTTACAACTGTGTCTCCGTGAAAAACCTGCAGCGATAAGGGAAGTTATCCTGTGAACTTTTTTCATAGCGTTTTTATTTTTGCATTTCTGCCACAGTGAATGGACTTTCGCTTGCAAGTAATTTTCACAACTTTTTCTGGGGGGGGGGGCTAGTAGCGGCCCTCCGTTATTTTCTAGCACCAAACTCAGAATCGCAAAATTTGCAACGTCATCTTTGAAAGCTTCGTTCTCGGTGGCTACAGAATAGAACCTATAGAATTTACACTTAGACATCTACTATTGAAAGCAAACCTTCTACTATATCCAGGATACCAAACTATGTATTCAAATTTCGTATTTGACGAGTTATTGAACTTCGTTTAAATTAGGCAAGACCTTTCTGGCCAACCTAACATATTGGGGGTAGGTTGAGAGACAAGTAATGCACGTTTTGTGTAACTCAGCTTTGAATCAAGGTGACTTTTCTGGCATCGTCTTTATGAGCACATACTAATGCAAACAGAAAACCCTCGTCTATAAAACATATACTTTCGTAATTTTTTGAAAACCTCTTCAGTGAGAAAGCATAACCCTCCCTGTGATTTAGTAGATGGTTCGCACTCGGCTCATTGTAGCCGATGACCGGTTCAGCAGTGGTACCCAGCTGTTTTACAAATTTAAAAAAAAAATCTTGCAAAGGAATGAAAATCATATGAGAAGCATAAAATTGTGAAGAAAACGGCGACTGCGTGCAATTTCTTAATTTTTCGTCTCTATTCGATTACTTTATTACCTGCATACGATAGCTTTTAGATACACCTTTTGGGTGTATTACGCTCTTGCGACAATGGATTGCCGCAAAGACTGCAGTCGTATTCGACAAGGTTTCATGAAATCCCTGCAATTTTTTAGGCATTCCGGCAACTGGCAGAACCTCTTTTTTAATTCTTCGATTTTTCTCGCGGAAGTGAAAGAACGTTCTCCTAGCATATACAAATGTACTGGTCGATCCTTAATGTACAATTCAAAAGTTTTTAATCGGTTTTCACTTAAAGCAAGTGTCCAGGCAGATCTGGACCTATGGGGAGTAAGTAATTTTGGGGCCCTAACTAAGGCACTGCCCAAGCGGCAGCGCAGGTGGAATTACTAACGGCTGAGATATGCGCCTCCAAAGTGGACCCCAAATCCGCGTTCGCATGGAATGGCAATTTCGCGCGAGGGCCCACGCTTTGCGCCATGAATCCATGCGAAATACGATCCCGGGATCCAGTTTCGAGGTGAATATCGCAGCCGTTAGTGATTCATCTACGCTGCCGCTTGGACAGTGCCTTAGTTAGGGCCTCAAAATTACTTTCCACGAAATCCCCATAGGTCCAAACTTGCCTGGAAACTCCTTTAAGATTTCTACACATCACAGATGGGCTCCACAAAACTTCATTATGCAAAATTTATGGAATATTCGGCGTTGTGAATTCGAGGCAAAGAAAAGAATTTGAAAATTCAGTCTGTGATATTCGAAGGAATAAAGCTTCAGAAAGAATCTAGAAAGCGAAGACATATGCAAGAATAGGAAACGCACTCAGTAGTCACCCACAGTTTTACTTCATTTGAATTAGGGACAGTGTACCTCGCCTTTTACTTACTCCTTATTTTTGACTCAAAAAGGATAGGCTATGTAGTTTCCGTGACAGAGTTGACTAAGCCAACGTCGGTGGTAGGTAGGTAGTGCAGTTTGGCCGTCACCTCTTCAGAAATCACAGAATATGAAGAAATAACAAAAAAAAGGCATTTTTTCTTGTTCTTACACTGGCTACTAGTACACCTCTGACATCGCGCATTTCTTTCCGCATACTGTTTGTGATCTTGCCACTCAACTTCGATGCCTACGAAACGTCATACATACATGCTGATTTTTTATTTAGCATGTCCAGCCACTATTGCAAGCAAGGATTAAATACAAATTTGCGGCACAGAGAATTTCACGCATGTTGACTTGTACTCTTGCAGCTAACCTTTCAATGGATCTTCTGCTGATGGTGCACTGGATGTCGATGCTGGACGAGAAGTGAACACGGCAGCAACTCCACGGGAGATGGCGCTACTTTGTAGCACACGCCGGATCATGCTGTTCGAGAAGGGCGGTGCCCACCTGATAAATCCAAAATTACACTGCAACATTTTCCAGCACCGACATATCCATATCATGTACTGCAAAGATAAAACAACGAATGGATATGGCTGCTAGCTGCCAGCCAGCTCAGAACTTCAACGTCGCTATAATGATAGAGACATCGCTCAAAAGCATCCATGCACTCGAAATTTTTCGATCTCTCTTCACAGCTCCCTCTCTCCTCACAAACGTTCCGTACTAGCCCAAACGCACCAGCACGCTACCTTGCTTGTGAGCGAGTCTGATAGATGCTCAAGTAACATAATAGCTTTTTCTTTCGCCTTGTGTTCTCGAATGTTGTTGTCTTTCTTAACACCTCTACAAGTAGCTAAAAATATGATAGTAGTAATTCTGCAGTGTGAGTAAACACTTAAAAAATACCAAGATATTTCTAACCAATCTTCATCTGAGCAACAAAGAAACAGAAACAACTTCATGAAATAAAAACAAATTCGCATACAAACCTCTAACCCTGGGAATAAGGCCATAAATCTCCGCAAAGATATGCGACATTCTAACGTAAGAAAAATGCTTTGTTCTCTAGTTGATCAACTATAGCTGCACATATACATTCATGCACTCCTTTACAAGTGTCCTTTGCAGCAGCCAGAAGAGCGGACAACTGATCGACATGAACTCGATTCTGCAGCTCAACCAGCACTACCTCATCTTCACCGCGCAAAGTGGCTAGCTGAAAACTTCTCAACTACTCGTAAATCACATCACTCTTTCCACAAAATTACCGTTAAACGCGGGAGAAGATCAGTTTCTTCTCTCTGGTTGATATCTACCACAGGCTGCCCATCAACTATGCTGCAAGTAGATGCAGCCACAAGGCCTTTCATGGGTATGCCGGCATCTGACATTGCCAGTGATGCAGCATTGACACAAGCCGCAAGGTGAGAACCATCGCTCTAAAATATCTGCACTCACTCTAAGGGGACGCACAATCGGTATAAGCATACTTGGATAATCTGACAAAAAATATCTATTTGCGAGGTGGGAAACAAGTGAACTAGCACGGCTCCTTCAAACGTCTTTTCGATGAGTCGTTCTATTTCCATTGATTTCCGGTCAGCACGCACTCGTTGTCGCCGTTCTACGCCAGCAAATCTCGTCATACTGAATTCAGAGACTATTTTTTGAAAAAAAAGGAGATTTTTTGACTGAAAAGTGTGCTCGAACTCTGCACATGTTGACAACGAAAATGCTCACTGGCGAAACTACTTCAGATAAAAGACTTGTGTTGAAAGAGCTGAACATCGCGGTTCAAAGGGTACGCATGGAAATTACAAAACAACTTGACCTTACGTATGTACTCTTTATTCTAGAACTAGTGTAGAGGATGCGTGAGCGCGACTCATGAGGTCATAACACTTTGGCAGCGCAAAAATGCTTTGTATCTTCGGTCTGAATATAGTGGAAAATGTAGACCGCGTCGCGCAACTAATCATATATTACAGTAAAAACGATTTGTGGTTCGAAGACATGCCCAAAACAGGAGGCGAAGTTGATGATTTATTCAAAACTGTAATTACTCGAGAAGTAGGATGCATCAGAGAAAACTTTGCCGAGTACGAAACTAGGACTCAAAGTAAGCGAAGATGTCAAAAATCTTTTCGATTTCAAATCAGATTTCGCCTTTCAGATAGTGTGAGTTCAGTTTTGGACTTACCGTCAGTAGCTTCCAGCAACCACTTGTTCATGACAAAAATTTCTATGCAGTATCTAACTTCTGAAGTAATTTCCGCACAAAAAAAAATTCAGCTTTTGCAGCAAAATTTAAGCAATCATTTCATCAGAGGTTTGTTAATGTACCTAATCAGGATCATACACAATGGTCCAAAAATGATGGGCTCTAAACTGAAAATCCATCCCACAACATGCAGGCTTGGCAAATTTCGATTCTCAGTATTCCACTACCTTTGAACATGATCAGGAGTTGTCAGTACCCGGAGGAAACTTTTGAGGCTAGGCAACGAAAGAAAAATCCGAATCTAACAGCTGACCTGAACACACAATTTATGGCGCAACGGTCCTCCAACTGCTTCGATTTTTTCCCTTCATACGGACCATACACAGCACAAAGAACCTGACGAAAGAGATGCAAATTTGTACAATGAATAGAGAACTCGTTTCAAATTCATTGCTGAAAAAAGAAAATGAAATTACCTTAGTTCCTCCCTGCTCAAAGTAGGCGGATCCTTCTGCGTCTCGAACGGTGCCAAGAGCCGCACTGATATTGCGTATTTGTTGTGGACGTCGTCCATCAAGACGAAAACCATGCTCAGACACAATGCTCATTGTCTAATATAGCTGGAAGACGAAAAGTAAAAAATAGAAGAAATCGATTCGAAAATAGAAAGCGTTAAATCTCAAAGATGTCGTCAGTAACAGCAGAACTTCATGGCCAAATGAAAAAAAAAGATAGGGAGAAACTAGCCTAGAGTTAGGATTGGGTTTCAGGTTGTGTCGAAGTTTTAGGTTCTTCTTCAGCTTTTTTGGGTAATTTTGCGGCTTCTTTTGCAGCTTTTGCACTGGCTTTGATGGCCTCGGTAGGGGTTGCTTCTCCTTGCTTGAACAAAATTTTTGGTGCCTGCTCTGCGAAAACTAACATAAGCCGACGATTCACTCGCATCTGCTTGTCAATACCTATAAGAAAGACATATAGAAAATTAGCACCACTTCACAGAAGGTTATCTATTGCCTAAATTTGTTACTTCATCCAGATTAAACACGTCATTCTTCACATTAGCTCACAAGAGGATGACCAGAACTTGGCCCGGCCAATCAAAACAAGCTGTATATCTAGCACGCCCTAAAATGCTGAATCTGCTAGGGGAAACGATTAAGAGCGTTTGAGTATGAAAACTCATGCAAGCACCAATAAATACATTTTGTTTAGAAATCGAGGCATAAGTAGCATTATGAATATTTTGATTACAGGAAAGAAGCACACCAACTAGAAACCCAAACAAGCGTTTGAATTTTATCCTTGGCCCATGCATTACAAGATACTTGTTACCGCACTTTTGCACCATAACTACTGTCAGATAATTGTTCTGCAGATAATAAACATAAATTTGAAGTCAACGTTTCAAAAATGTAATGGCGAACAGATTTACAAATTTGAATTGGCCGGACTAAATGATAATTCTCTTGTGAAACCTCATGATTGGAAGCAAAGCGAAAGAAGGATGCTAAAAGCGGTAAAATGCTGCAGGAGTTCACTTCCCAGACATCATGCAACTCACATAGCGATACGCAAGTGTCCTCGGCAGGGGTGAGTTGGCGGGAGTTGTAATCACGTATGCAAGAGCCGAAGCACTTCTCCGTTAAGATATTATAGACGCTCAAAAATTCTCGCAACTGAATGGAGAAGGTGATTCACAAACTTTGCGATATGAAATCAAGAACATACCTGTTGGATATCTTGTACGGGAATGCTCATAGACACCCAAACCTCTGAAAAAAAGCCTAGACTAGCCAATAAGAATGTGCACGACAACAGCGGCAGAATGAAGGGGGCCTCTCTCCTTCTCAAAAGTGGTTCATACGACTGATGAGGCCGCAGTTCTCCTGTTTTTGATGTTCTACGAATTTCAAGACAAGCAAAATACTCTGTAGAGTGATCTTTGAAGATTGGTAACCCCGTTCTAGAATCACTATTGCTCATGATTGCGTCTACATATTAATAAATAAGAAAATGGATTACAAGAGAAAGAACAAGGAAACCTATAAGGTAACGGAAGGAAAACATGAATTGTACGGGCTAATTCCATGCCCTGCAATCTACAGACCTCCCAAACTGAGCGAAATAGCTCGAAATTTTTTGAGATCTCTAACCGCTCATTGCTCCACGATCTATTTTCTCATAAGTTCAAGCATATGACATTTGTACACATATTTACATTTTCACCTAAACCATAGTACGAAAGACTTGGAGAATACACTAGTTACTATACTACTTAACATTGTCATGAGAAAACCAGGTTAAGGAATTCACCGCAAAGTTGTTGCAAAGTTCGTAAACACAGAAAACAAACTGAAAACATGCCGGCGGCCGCGGCGCGGCGACAGTTTCGCGCGCATAAATTTCATTTTTCGAAAATCGCAGCTATCTGGATAAATTCTGTTCGCATTCAGCAATTACGATAAAAAGTTCTGGTTCAGAACAGTAGATAATAATTTGCGTCAAAATTCTGGTTCCATCATGTAACAAGCCCGTGTGAGGAGGATGTTCAGCAATCCTGACAACGCAGAGACTTGCTGTTGAACAGAAAGGCGTGCGTTTCTGATGTAGTGAGGTGTAACTCTTTCTTTGAAAAAATGAGAAAGTCACGAAAACTTATCTAATCAGAGGGTTTCTCGAAGCTTCGTTGCTACTCCCTGTGAAAACATGTTAGAGCGGTGCTCATCCTTTTAACTTCTCAAAGAAGTGATGTTTGATGTTCTCAAAGCCCGGCTAATAAGAGCTTTGGTATGAGCATGTTTAGTGTTATGCGATATCTCTCATTCAATCATACATCTTGCATTCTGTCATTCCTTTTTATCTTAGGCTCAGTTTTCACAGTTAATGAAAAATCAAGACTTTCGGGCATTTTTCTTAGAAAAGAAGAATGTTGGAATGAGGTATACCTATCTGCAGCAGGAGAAGAGATTTTTGAAAGAGAAAGATGCAGATTTTGGTCTGGAAGAAAAGAGAAATCCCCCATTTGCAGGAAAAAAATGTCCCCTTTGCATGTTGTCTGCAAATTGTCAATGTGGCGGGAGACCCTGTCGTTTGAACGTGAGACTTTATTGCGAGCAAAATTCTTGAGTCTGTTTTTCAGTTTGACACTTCAGCGCTTGTAGTTTTTCAAAAAGTTGCTATCCAATTTGCTATAATTGATGCTCCTAGCTAGTTCAGAAACCCAATATTTCGCGAAGCGATAATTTTTTGATATATTCTCAGGAAGAAAGGGAGGATTTTTTCTTTTGTTTCCTTAGTAATTGTTAGATTTTCACGTCTTGTTTTTCTGACATTTGCATCTCCTTTTTGGTTTAGATCGCACTCGTAATGAAAGATGGATAGCAAATGTTTTGGCAATCTGTTTTTCTTCGCTTTTATCGTTTTCTGCCAAACGTTGAAATTATTTTTCGTTTTAGACAGCTTGTGCTTTTTCCCATCTTTGTTCTTTGCTTTTCCATGATGTTACAATTATCCAACCCTTTTTGAATAGTTTTGTTACAATTCTAACATGATTGCTCAGTTCTTTCAGTCGTAACGCATTCAAATTTTCTTTGTCTATGAGCTGAAATGGCTGTTGCGATTCTCATTGATTTATGCAAAACATTCACTATGATTCGACCTGAAGTTTTATTTGAAATATCTTCTTGACAATAGTCTCTGTCTTGATCATTAATGCTGTCGCCTAGTGAACTTTTATACTGAATTGCACGGCATTATGTTTATTATAGGTATGTCCGAGCAGCTCTGTAATGAAGTTCCTCCTCAGTTGAACTCTGTCAAGGATGAGAAAGTTTCGCTGGGAGTCTCTGCTCATCAGATACTCTACACGGAGGGCACTCGGTGAGTAAGATGCACTCTATTTATTCAATTAAAAGAATGGAAACAAGAGAGGTGGCACGGAAGGAATTTTTATTCTGTCAGGATAAGTAGACGTTATGATTTTTGCCGACAATTTCAGGGCCCCATAGGTATTGGCTTTTTCGCATATATTTGTTTCTAACTGTATTATAAAGTTGTTTGTGAAAGCTTACGTTGCACCCAGCCAAACTTTCATTAACTCCATATTTTTACTACCATTTTGAATCAGAAGTATGGAAAGCATAGGATGGTCATATGTTTGATCAAAACCTTTTTTGTATATGAGAATTTTTTCTTTGCTTTTTTCTTTCAACTTTCTATCTTACTGATTAAATTATATCTATAAGACTAACATATGTATAAAATTCTTACATCACCTCATTAGCTTTTCGAATAATCAATATGACATATTTTTTCGCAACAATTTTCATAATCATCCTTCAAATAAGAAATGCATGTATTTTAAATTCTCAAATCAAGTAATCAGTCTACAAAAGCTAAAGTCTAACTATATTATTGACATGTCGGCTGCAAACGGCTTCAGCGTAGATGTTAGAAGTCCGCAACTGCAAAAATTTTCGGCTGTTTTGATTGATTGATGGTAATTGATAGTTGTTTACTACTTGGTCATTCTTTATTGGAAGATCTATAACTTGTGAATTTAGTCGTAATTTTGGCTTGCAACCAGAAATAACTTTTTCAAGGTCGGTGCCTACCTACTCGGAATTGACAAATGTTCTGAGAGCTCCGAAATTATACGATCAATCTCGCGAGTCGTATTCTACACAAGCTGCCACAACTAGTCAGAGCAGGGCGGAATTTCCTGTCAAGTTATGTCCTGCACCGTTTGCATCCAGTATACTTCGAGGTATTGAAAGTTGTTGTTGTCATCATGTTGTTGTCTGCACTTCGGCCTTCAAGCCTGAAAAGATTTTTTTGTAGGGAACAGTTGGACTGTGCAATCTCACGGACACGCTCAAGGCACACAAAGCACAAACAATTCGAGACATCGCGCCAACTTGGAGCTTTCTGATTCGTCATCATCGGCCAAAACCGGGACGCAGCATGGAATCACCACCTCCATCTCAAGACCAAGGTTCAGATTCTAAGGAAAGTGTTTGCTAGATTTTATTGCAACTTTCAGCACGAATCGAGTGGTTGCCGACAAACGTTGGGTAGATGAGGACATTACGCATTACGGCGCTATCGAAGAGAACTGCGATGACTTTGATGAATGGGTGGAAAGAGTATGTCAGTTGTTTAGCCGTGGAATGAATCTCAAATTCTGCTTTAGGTGGATGTGTCAAAATTTGCTAAAGACATTAGCGTGGACTTGATGTCAAGACCGCGGTTGGTGATGAAGAAGGAAAGGGTAAGCTTTCAGTGGGTTGAATCTCCACTTGAAATATAATAAAATCCTACTTTCAGAATCAAGCTGCTGCCAGTCCTTACCCAAAACCGGGATGGTCGTACTCAAATTTGATCGCGTTGGCTCTCAAAAACAGTAAAACAGGGCAGCTGACTGTCTCGGAAATCTACGCGTTCATGCTGTGAGTTTCTCATGCTAAACTTACTTCTTTCGAGTGGGAATGCCAACCTTTACGTTACGCCCTGATGGTATGTCTCATAGTATTCTCCTGCTCCTTGACATTCCGTTTTCTGTGCGTATCTTCAAGCTATTTTGCATTTTTTCTTCGTTTATTTCGCGCTTGGTTAGGGCCTCCTTGTTCAGAAATATTCATTTCCACTATCAATAATGGGGGGGGGGGGGGAAGGGGGAAGGATCGACTATGACCATCGCGTGTTGAAGCGTAGCTATAATTCGACGATAAGTGGGGGTAACTTGATCCGATCCTTCTCGCATGTGTTAAGAGTGCTATTTTTATTGCGACTTTGAACTATTGCAACCCCTTTTGGCAGGCAAGATTTTCATCGGCAGTGATTAAATGCTTGAGAACACTAAATTGTCGATAAAAATATGCCGGCGTCGGATCACAGAGTAAGAACTGCATTTAAGTCTCAACTTATCAGTGTCTGCTGTAGATTGAGGCCTCTGCCCAAAGCAGCAGTTATATGCTATAGTTTCTTAAGAAATCAAAGCGACTCGTACACACAGCATATTGCTTTGACTGTTCTTATTCTGTATCGGTAGTGTTTGTAAAAGGGGATAGTTCTTGTATTGCTTTTACCACCATCCTGATCCTGATTTTTCTTTGCCTTCGCGATTCTTCCTTCTTAGAGTTAAAATACTATTTCAGCGAGCATTTTCCGTACTTTCGAACGGCTCCATCAGGTTGGAAAAACTCCGTAAGACATAACCTTTCCCTGAACAAATGTTTCTGTAAAGTTGAGGTTAGTTGTAGTTCTGGAAAATACTGCAATTAAAGTGTGTTTCGTGATTTAGGTTGACGAAGATATCTCCATGGCTCAACAAACCCGTAAGTCATGTCTTTGGATGATAAATCCTGAGAGGCTGGAAAAAATAGAGCAGGACATAAGAAAATGGCGAGAGCGCAATCCAGACACCGCTACAGAAGGAATGGCTCGACCAGGTTATTAATCTCGTTAAGTCAAATCGCTTGTTGACTATAATTGATTTGCAGAAGATCTGCAAGCTATCGAAGATGGCACGAAGGGGCTGCCATTACCAGAGCGAAACTCCAAGCAGATTTTGAAAACAACTTATTTTGAGAATAGATCTGGACACGGAGAGGTGCGCTATCTCCCTTCAGATCACTTATTTGCTGAAATTTACGTGCCTTTTTCTTCCAGGTATATGCTAGTCGTCGACATCACATCATTAGCAATGAGGATGCAGTTGCTGCTGAGGTATTTATCTTTCTGCGCTTTTGTATACTCAGCTTAGAGATTTTGATTCCATGAGATAAGCTTTAGGACTTGATGCAGATAGTCAAAGAAGACTGCCAGCTTGAACGCAACTGTTACATGTTTACGCAAAGGGTAATTTCTCCTTTTTTCTTTACATGCCTTTGTGTTGGCACTAGGATGTGCAATGTATTTATTACTCGCTTTTCCGTATACTTCGATCTTTTCAATGCAACCTAGTTAAAAATAGCACTCGAATGTACCCAAAGCAGTTTACCCATTTGTAGTTGTACCCTTCGACGGGCACAGCGGAAGCAGATCAGCTCTCATCTCATCCGGAGCAAGTGCGAGAAAGGGAGATTTTGCAAACGACATTTCCTCCTACTGAAATGTTAGTGGGGACAAGTTCTGTCAACCCATCGAAGGTAAGAAAGATATCTAGTGTGTAAAAACTTCTAATTTAAATTGAATACTACAGCGACCTCGGACCGAATCTTTCTATAGTCCCATAAAGGAAATACCGGTGATGGATATGCTACCGAGTACGTTTGTGGATGCCTTTTTGTCGCTTACACCTCCAAAAACAAAGGAAGTCGATCCGGATGCATCTCTTTCTCCCGTTAGGTAGGTCCGATTTATACTTGCTCTTCAAGTGTTTCGTATATCATGGTTTTATAGAGAATCAGGCTTTCGAGACGCTCATAATGCACTCAATGACAACTCTTTGCTTGCTGCTGCTCTGGAGCAAAGCCCCTATAAATTACCGGTAACATTCCCTGTTTTGTAGTTTTGTTATTGTAAACTTTTATTTTGAGCATTATCACATTCTTGTTCTAAGTTATTTTTATTATCCCTACCTTATTATCGCCTTTGATTCATGCTGTTGATCTCGTTGGGGTTATGTTTAGGTTTTCCTGTGCTATACTTTCCAGTTATTTTCTTTAATAACTTAATAAGTCGTTCTTTTTCGAAACTATCTACTATTCTGATTAATCTGTGAATTTTTTTTTCTATTCAGCAATTTTGTAGGTCTAATATGCTACTTCAGCAGTGGTTTTGAACCACATCTGTTCTTTGCTTTCAATGTTGTTTTGATTCTGAGAAGTTGGTTGTACTGGTACATCTTAGCATGTCCAGCACGTCTTTCAGGCACTAAGAATATCCCATTCACTTTTGTAGGTTACACATCTGATTGTGCATTAATGCAGACAACTCACTGCCTTCTGTTGTATCGACTGATCTGGTATCAGCTTTCCCGTTGTAAGTACGTGTATTCATGAATGAAAATCTTAATACTTTGTTGAGCAGCATTCTTGAAATGGTGACCACCGCTCATGTATTCTTTTTTTTTGATAAAGTAACAATTCCTTAACGGATCTCATTGCTTGATGTCCAGGTATGGAAGGCAAAGAAGCTGTCTCAAAGTTCCTTGTAAAAAACGTGAGTGATTTCCAATTTGGTTTTCATTCTTCTGCACCGACCTATGCGCACGTCTACATTATTGAGGAAGCTCATGCTAATTTTAAATTCTACGACGAAGAAAAAAAAACTTCATAGTTTATATTCAAATTTTATAAAGCTAAACCAATGCTTAAAAAGAAGGGTGCTCACGAAACCATATTTCGTGAGCACCCTTCTTTTTAAGCATTGGTTTAGCTTTATAAAATCGAGTTCAATTATTGGAGCATTCTTAAATAGGCGGTTTGCAAATGTGAGAATAAAAATGCATTTACTTGCATTGCATTTACTCTTAGTTTTGCTTATAAGTTGCTTGCGCTACTGTCCGTGAAGTAGTGTTGTTTCGCTTTCTAGTGCTTCAAGGCAGGGATAGTCAGTAAGAGCTTAGGTGGGTAAACGTTTTACCGGAAATCATCACGCACTTTCATCTCCTTACTTAAGATTCTCTCCTGAGGTCATATAGCGGTGCTGTATGTATTACTTCTTATCGAAATTCGAAAAGTGGTATAATCGTCCCATCATCACATCATTCTCTCTCTCACTTCTTCAGTTATCTAAAGGTGTCAACTCGCTTATGATGTTCTAATACGGTAGAAGCTGTAAGTGAAGTTTCGCCCAAACATTACGTTTCAAACGTTCGTTCAAGAAGGTCTTTAGATACTTCCGCAACGTGCAGTCTGAAATTTTTTTATATGAGGGTGCTTGTTACAACCATCTTTCTTTATGCATTGCATTATACCTCAACGAAAGCATGTGAGACGTTACAATAGATGAATTGCAGATTTTTCTAATGCAAACATATCCATTTCCCCTCTTAAGAAGATCAAATATTTGGTTGTCCCGAAAGTTTTGTCCGTTTTTTCAGCATAAAAACGCGTGGAACGAAGGTAGGGAAACGCTCTAAGCACTGCCCGACGCAACTTTTCCTCCTCTTTCTAACTGTCATGCCTCCATGCCGATTAATCTTTTGTTCACTGAGATAAACGCCGAAATTTCGAACCCATGGTTTTTACTATGTCCAAGTTTGGCAGTTTTTCACAACCTTTATTTTTCCTTTCGGAAAAGCTTTGGCAACAGTTAAATAGAGCAAACAAAGGGCAGTATAATGCAATTTTGCGGCATCTATAGCTAGCCTTGTAATTTTTTTTAGAATTGTTTTGCTGATGCTATCAAATTCCACTTTTGGTGATGCCAAAAGCCAGACATCATGAAACCGCGCACAACTAAGTTGTTATTCGATGTAGCTTTTCCTCCTCTTTCCAGTGAGTGTACTTACTCTCCAATTTGCGGGGTCCTTGGCGATAAAATTTTCATAATTCTTGAATTTGACCCCACCCCAGCGTGTACACGTAAAATGCAAAATCTTATTTTTCGAAGCGGTAAACGCTCGTTTGCTTCGTAAAAATAGTGAATAATCGTAATCGGTTTTTAAAGCTTCAGAATCCGATGATTTGTTAGTGTTCGAGGCGTTTCTGTATTATAGAACTTCGCAAAAGTGAAGAGTTTTGAAAAAATTATCTTTAAAAATACTGAAAAGCCAGCTAGATAAGCCAAATAATTGCATTGCATTGCCTCTTGCTTACTCTATCTGAGGGCTATCAAAGATCTTCCAAAAGTTGAAAATGAAGATTGTGAAAAATTGTCAAACTTGGACCTAGTAAAAACCATGGGTTCGAAATTTCGTCGTTTATCTCAGTGAACAAAAGATTAATCGGCATGGAAGCATGACAGTTAGAAAGAGAAGGAAAAGATGCGTCGGATAGTGCTTACAGCGTTTCCCTATCTTCATTCCACGCGTTCTTACGATAGGTTGAAAAAACGGACAAAACTTTCGGGACAACCTAATACTTTCCCACAGCGAACAACTTGCGAGAAAAATCTATGAAAAATACTTATTGTAATTATTTAGCTATGTACAATATGCACCCGTCACACTGTCACGAAGCCTGGAGGGATAGGGATATCAAATCTGTGCACATGTGATGATAGGTTACAGTAGCTCAGTTTTCAAAAAAGATGTCTCGTGTAGCAAGTCGAGCGCACTTTCATGCTTTGTTTTGTGTGAATTTTTTTTATATGAAGGTGCTTGTTACAACCTCTTTCTTCATGCAATGCGTTGTACACAAGGAAAGCATGTGAGACGTTGCGATAGATATCCATTTCCTCTCTAAAAAGAAATTCTCCAGAAACTTTGCCATGAACAACTTATCTACGAGAAAATCTATGAAAGATACTTGCTGTAATTGTTTAGCTATGTACAATATGCACCTGTTACATTGTCACGAACGCCTGGAGGAATAGGGAGATCAAATCTGTGCATACTGCAATGATAGATTACGGTAGCACAGTTTTCAAAAAGGATGTCTCGTAGCAAGACGAGCGCACACTTTTATGCGACTTTGATTTTATGCACTAGATGAACCCGCCATACTTCGTCGAGAAAAGCACCAAAGCGTTCAAAAAGCCCAAAAAGCCCGAAAAAGCCCGAAGGCGCCGGAACGCAGAAACCAACTTTTCGTAGAATTCCGACGTTATTTTGATGTGCAGGCGACAGAAAATGAACCAAAAAGACTCGATTGCGAAATAAATACACATGCCTTAGCGCCAAGACCTGCACGCGAAAGGGGGCGTTCCGGCCCTTTCTGGCGCTTTTAAGCCTTTTTGAGCGCTTTTAGGCTTCTTTCGGCGCTGGGCTTTTCTCGGCGAAGTATGACGGTTCCCGAAGGAAATGCGAGCGGGAAGAAAGTATTGGAAATCTAGCGAAGTCTACAGTAATTTGGCGCATTAACTGCGCTCTTTCTTGATATTGTTGTTCTCCGTAAATTCATAATCAAGTATCTGTTTTAGACGATAGTCTTCGCAGTCACTGACTTTAATCCTTTTTTTGAGCTGTTCCCTATAACTTTCAGACTCGAGAGAGGTTTGCGATTGTAGAGTTCCTTTCGAAACAAATTGTTTTAGGCCTTGATTATTTCACAGTTCCGTTAACCCTTTTGCCCAATAAAATCATTTCTCCTTAAAAGTTAAGCGAATTGTAGTTTCTGGGTAAATATAAATCTGTCTCATAATATGCACGTTTTTTGAAACTCAAATTTGTAATCTCTTCAAAACTATCTCCTTGCGCAATAAGAATTCGTTGCGTAGCAACATTTTGGCTCTACAGCACAACTTTTAAGATGTTTAAGCCTGAAAACTGACAGCGAGCATAAATTAACTTATGTACTAGGTTGAGGCAGGCTTTGCTCGTTGTATAGCCGATGGTCGTTTCAGCAGCGGAATGAAGCTAGTTATTAGATATTGCAAAAAAATTGGTAGTACCCACTTTTTTGCGTTTCAGAGAAGACATTTCCTGTCATTAGTCGTCCTAGGTTCGCTTCAGTTATTGCTTCTCGCTTGAGATCTCTATGCAGCATAGAATGGTAGCTAAGTTTGAAACGCATTTTTTAGGCTCAAGAGTTTCCAAAGTTCTGATCTTGGTAAGCTTTTTGTATTGCGTGTACTGTGCATAATTTTCAGAGCAAATTACCATTCATGGATTCAAAGCAAGTAGAGTGAAAGGAAATTTTTGATTTTAGTCCCTTATTTGTGTAGGTATGCAGCTCCAGGAACAAAGATTTGCAAAAACGGAAGCATAGATAAGACAGTAGAAGAATCGGGCTTTCATATACCAGAAAAGTTTCTAACAAAAACTTCTGTTTCAAGAACGAGGGCTCAAAGGGGGAGGTAGGGAAACGAGCATTTAGGAGGCAATCTGGAAAATATATGTAGTCCCGATAAAAGGAAAAGGAAGCTTTCAAACCGTAATTTTGGTGGATGGTGAATGCAGAAATTTTGGCCAATTTTTTACAACCAGAAGCGCCTTTTGTTGGGCAGTTCAATTTTTTTTCGAAGTGAAGATGCTTTTCATTTCTCACAATACTTCTTGATCAAACAACTGTTTTGCAATTAAAGAAGTTCTCTTTTGGGCAGTGGTCCTTCCAATTATCCGTTAATGCCTACGCCATCTACTAAGCTTTCTTTCTGTTGCCATAGTGTCTGAGTAGTAGTTTTATTGACTTCTGTTTAAAAACAAGAATTGGGTAATAGAAGCATGTTCAAAACAGCAAATCAATCAAGAGGCATTCTGCTGTCGCCAATCAAACCACCGGCTACTATAGCCGCTAGGAGCGTGAAGAGTGCAGCCACTATGGCTATCCAGTATGCGTAGCCCAGGTATACGTCAGCCACGAGCTCGTAAGACATGGATGTCATGTATGCTGGAAATTCAGTTGAGTAACACTTGTTTGCTAGAAGCTGGGCTTTTCACTCACCGACTTTGCTTCTGTAACGAACCCCAAATACTATGATGGCGATGAAGAGGCAAATGAATGCCAGTGCGCATATGATTGCTGTCGGGACCCCTAAGCGTAATCTTGGCGAGAAGAGAGCGAAGAAACATCCTGCAATGTTTGTAGAGGGAGCATTAGGTTGATGCAAAAATAATGTCCGTACAATGTCAATTATAGAAAAATACTTGTGTACACTATCTGACAGAACGAAGTAAGCTTGATAAATTGATTTTCGGAAGCTTCCGGAAAATCTTCTGCTGCTGATGCTTCCCTGATTTTTCGCGGGCTCATGACCGCGAAATTTTAGAATAAGGGAGCAAGTAGTCACGCCTCCGAAATTTTTAGAAGCTAAAATGAATTTTTATAATATTTTACGATTATTTCACTCTAGAAGTGTAAAGAAGTCATTTGCGCAACTTTATAACTCATGTAAGTAACTTTCAAATCGTTTGCTCGCGAAATTTCTGGTGTGCTCGGACTGGCCCAATCAAGAAAAAAAACAGATGCGTCCTGTACTCGTGGAATTAGGGTATAGCAAAAAAACTTCGAAAAAGTGACATTTTCGTATTTGGCTGTTTTTGTTTCTCTGGGTCGCGAAAATAGATCAAGTAAATATTCAAATACTACTGTATATTTATATGGTAATCAAATCAAAGCATCTAGACTCTCTTGGGCTCATATTCAACTGGGTAATCAATAGTTCACAGATTTCGGATCCTAACGGTAATAACGTGAATCAAGATTATGGGGCATCTATGTCCTGTTTTCTAGTGGATCATGCTTTGCTCTCTCGGAGAGTGTCCCACATGCATTTTCCCATATTTACATGTTTCAACACATAAGGACGGACTATTTTTGTACCAGGTAATTTGAGCCAGAATAAATGGTAAAACATCATACCAATAGCTATTGCTTGAAGTATGCATGCAATGATAACCAGTGCTAGAGTGACCCGTTCGTGTGAGGCTTTAGACTGAAAATCGATAATTTGCTACTCATTCTAGACTCAAAAGCGCCAAAATTGTGACTAACACCAGCCCATTTTGAGCATTCCCAGTCAGGGATTTTACGATTTCCGTCGCCGCAGTGATACGAAACGAGACCAAAATCGGGAGCTCCATCGCCCTGAAAAGTATCATAATTGAAGAGTCTCAAATCAAACTCCCGTAGAATCTTTACTTCCATCTATGTCAGAAGTGAAAAAGCGTCTACTTACGTGGTAGCTCCTCCAACCGGGTGTGAATAGAGCAACTAATGTGAGAATAAACGCGATTATGATTATGACGCCGAACCCAATATGCAATTTGGCCATAGCGTTCGTCGGACACTGAAGTTATGAGAAAATATGAAAACTGTCCAAAGACTCATAACAATGCATTGATAGGGTATGTTTACTGACTAAGTAAGATCTACCAAGATCGTTTGCTAGAGGTAGACTGCTTCATCAACTGAATGTGTTGATTTTGCGACGTTTTTTCAGTAATGTTTCTTTTTTTAGGTTTATGTTAAGGTTTAGGGTTAAAGGGGAGACTTCGTTTCGAAGCTGGTAGGGACTGTTGTCTCCTCCTTCAGAAAATTGTTTTCATCTAATCACATTACTAATTTGGTGATGATTTAGTTTTTTAATTTTGGATTCCATTAAAAGAGTTTGCAGTTTGCATTTTTGCACTCGTTTCTTCTTATTTTATTCAGAGCGTCCAGAAGGAAATCGCTACTGTATGTTTGTGATTAACTCTCTTACTTCGGCGTCTTTCGCCCTATTTGAGATACCTATTTGAGATTTCCGTAGAGCTAGCTTCAACTTAAATGTGCGCCGTGAAGGGATGGATCACCGATTTTCTTTTGCTACTTTAGGTTTACGATAGAAACTTCCAGCATTTTGCGCCATTGTGAGCTGTGTTTCGAGAAGAAAAATCTGTGCTGCGTAACAGGGTCTTCAATTAATCCGATTTCACTAGATTTTTCACAAGTACAAAAAGCATTTCCAACTATACATGTCATAACTCATAAACGACTTTCAGGCTAAAGTGCAAATCTCATATTCCCAGGTTCAGCGATTCTGATTAGCCTAATATGAGTCCAGTTGCTTGATTCCTTTTCGAGGCGAATTCTGGCTCTCATTGGCCCAAAACCCCTTTGAAGTTTCCACCGTAACCTTACAGTAACGACGAACAATCTGTGTTTCGCTCCATTTTGTGAATTTAGGTTGAAGCCAGCTTCCAGAATATAGCTTCAAAAGCGGCGAAAGGTAATGGAGTAAGGAAATTACCAACGTTAAAACAATGAGGACATTTTTTCATGCAAAACTGGCGCGGTCAATGTTTTGCCTTATAATTAACGAACACTTCTCTTTCGTATGATGTTCGAATTATACCGCTTTATGTAAGCTATCACATTCAACTAGTATCTATAAAATCTTGTCAACAGGTCATTTGCATTGAAGAGGTATGTATATAAGAAGAGAACCCTTTAATGGACAAATTTTTCTGTGGATAAAAGTTGAGACCCAACACGTTGCAAGTTCAAAATGAAAATCAAAGTTTGAAACAATAATTTCTCAACGCAGTTTTGATCGAGAAAATTCCGCAACCGGCACCTACTACAGAAAGTCAAGCATCGAAGGGCGCTAGTATGATCTTCCCACGAATTAGTGTTGTATTATTGACCTAGACTGATAAACCGTTCAAACTGTTTCGGTGTAAGAAAGGCCGACAAAGGCGAGTGGGGTTACGCTGATGCAGCTTTTATTTTTACTTTTGCTGAAATACGATTGTTTGGCCATCTACAAGTTGACAACATTGCGCAATTCCTGTTTGTTCCCATTTTCGTGTAAGATCTACAAAAGAATTTCAAAGGTATCCGTAAAATAAGTAAGGAAAGTGCGTTTAGATGTATAGTGCCTACGATCAGAAGAAAGCTTTAGTGGACCATTAGAAGTAAGATCGGCGAGCGAAATGACTGAGTTGCGTTCCCCAGCAACCTTTGTGTTGCTCAGCACGGAATTCTATAGTACATCACTCTGGTTTCTATTTGTGTGGCCAGTCACATTTGAGGTCAAGCGCACATACATCATCAAGACGCAACATGGGCGCCTGCTCATCGACTGGGTGGTAGCATTATGTGGTGCAAGTGTTTGACAATGGTTTTGAGAAATTCAAACAAGGTTGACAGAGTAGAAATGTGTTCCCGCGCAGTCTCATTTACCAATTCGTTCGAGATAAATTATTCCGAAAAATTCTGGAAGGGTTATGACCTATGTGATGCTACATCCACATACTTGGGGCAACCCTTACTTTTTACGATTGTTTTCTTGATGTAATTCATTTTAGGGGAACGCGGAATGGCGGTCCCTAATTCCTATGATGGCCTATATCGCCCTGTATATGATTTTGAAATAAATTGTTTTGCAAATCGTGAAACGCTCAGGCGTGAGCCGTTATACTCTAGCTTGATAGAGTTACGAAAGTCGCTGAGGAGTTCTTCCCTTTTTCGACCAAGTGTTAATGCATGTCGAATTTCGCAGATGACCAATTGTGAGAAAGATTGAGGATGCATCCGATGCAGCATTGCTTCCTCTTCCTAGTGACCTAAGTTTGAGACCACAGCTTTCGAAAAGTTTTCAGGTGACTGCAGAAATTTGCAGGTTGTCACTTTGGCTTTTGTCTAAATTCCGTCAACATTTTGTTTTGTACTTCGTAGTTCGCAAGGGCACAACCATCAAATATAGCGCTTTCCTGCTGGAAATTTATAAATCTCTTTAATGCTATTTATGATTTTTTTGCATAAGTTCTGATTTGTGGCACTTTTCGGGTAAGGAATGAATTTTCTGACAATTCATATTTTCGCGGTTTCACCTTTTTGCAGTGGCATCAAATGTCGTCTGAACCACTGTGGTCTTTAGCAACCCGGTGATTGAAAAATAGGAAATTTCTAGATTTAATGAGAGCCGTTTTGTAGGAGATTCTGGTGGAAGGTCTACGAAACAGAAATTCAAAGCGCCTACCTCTTCTTTCACGAGGATATGAATTCTTCCGGACTCATTCATTTTATAGAAAGTTACAAAGCGGGGAAATCGCAAAAAAAAATTCTAGAGTGATCTAATACATGAAGCACTATCTCGTTTCAGTATCTCACATCGTAAATCGCTCCGAGTGATCAGTGAAAAATGTCTCTTCCAATTGTTGATGGTCGAGTTCAGAAAACAGCTTGCAAAAGATTATGTTCGCCGCACATATTTTTCAACCGTGTCTGACCTCTCTAGTAAAAAAAAATTTAGCTCATTACGCGCTTAGGTAAAAAAATCTGCTCATGGTTTCAAAGCTTTGTTTATTTGAACTTATCTTTATCTGTCTTTTCATATATTCAGTACGAGTGCTTGATATAATCTGTAAAAAAGGTCTTGTATGTTGCTTGAAGAACCGCAAAATGTGGAGGCTCTTGAAAAATTTTGATTTTCTATCATATTTTCAAAACTGAATAACCACTTCAAGATTCAGCGCGGAAACTTCTAAACGACTCGCGTGCTTTTTACTGCCTCAGTGCTTTGTGTCACCTCCCACTGCTTCTGCAGAGGCCTCTGCCTAAAATAGACTGCTAGCTATCACTTCGGAGGATATCACTCATATACTTATTTTTTTGATTTTTTCTAGGCTCCCCCGTCTGTCTACTATATTCCTGATTTTATAACACCTGAAGAAGAAGAGGTGCTCATCTCATGCATCGAAAATGCACCACAACCAAAATGGACAGTCTTGCTCAATCGGCGTCTGCAGATGTATGGCGGTGTTGTTGGGAAGAAAGCTCTTATCCCTGCCGATGATATTCCACTGGTGGGAAACATTTAGAAATTTTTTTTAACGCTATCGCGTAGTTCTTCATTGCCTAGAAATGTTCTTTCCCAGGAGCTCAGCTATCTGATGAAGAAAATTGATGAGTTACACTTCTTCCCCACCACAAATCATGCGTTGATCAACGAAGCAAGTTTTCAGACTACCTTTGCCTTACCTAATTCAATATTTTCGTCGTTTTTCAGTATAAACCCGGCCAAGGAATTATGCCACATACGGATGGACCGGCTTTCTATCACGTTGTCTCAAATGTGACCATGGGTTCTCACGCACTTCTGGACTTCTATAGGCCGATCAATCCTGAGGTGAACCATCAGACAAGTAGCCGTTTTTGAAATGTACACATCTCAGACTTCTATGCTCATTAGACAATAATGCCGACTCGCACTTTGAGAAATTTTGTAAGAATTGTGCACATATATTTGTACCAAACTCAGGGCTCGGCACAAGCTGGCACCAGAAAATTTTCAAAACGAAGTCCCTTTGACTTTGGGAATTTTTACGAAGTCCCCCTTGATCCTCAACGATATCCCCTCTAAAACCCTAAAAAACCCCGCAAAAACGAAACGTCGACTAAAAAAAGAGGTCGCCGTCGCCAATTTTGCGTATATGTTTGCCCACAAAAACGAAACCCCCTTTGCTTTTTGCCCCAAAAACGATATTCAGCTTGCCCCGTGCCAGCTGGTGCCAGGCCCTGACCAAGCTTCTCGGATGTAAATCTGAGCAAATTCCATTTTTTTTCACTTCAGACAACAAAAATAGCGATTAGTCAGTTTGATCGTCATTAGACCCGGTCTTCTTGATTGTCCTTAAACGACTGGTAACTGGCGGGAAAAGCAAGGGTACTATTCTCCTTATGAGCCGAGATGGAATCGGTGCTTGAGCGTTTTGATACCCTGTGACGTTTTCGGTACCTCCACGGCATCAGAAGTTGCACTAATGATGTGCACAAATGAAGAATTCTGAAATTTTAACTTCGTAAAGTCTGGTTTTTAAGGCACCTCCACCAAAATTGAAGGTAGTGAAAATTTGATGTCATATACTAGGCTGTTGCATAAGTTCTGTCCGATTTTTTTGCCTCATGTTTGAAGCAGCTGTTCTAAGAGAATTTCATCTCCAATTCGATACGGTTGGTATCATTGAAAAGTGCTTTCCTTGCGCTTTCTAAAGCATACCAGAATTCAATAAAATTCTTAGTGTACGGAGATCACAGGCCTAAAATCTCTAAGTGGCCGAGGTACGTTCTATCCCTAGAAATATGTCCTTGCGAGGATATCTCCACAATGCGCCCTTCAAGTCAGGTTCTTTCATTGGCTTCGGAATAAGGGTATGGAATGCTAGTATATGCAGAAGTTCGGTCCCATGAAGAATACGTCTTGCTAGTGAAATTTATCCTCGAACATAAATCTTTGGTATAGATGTTTTACAAGCAATAACTTTCTGCGAATAGAAGTAATCGACAAGCTCAAAGTTGGAGGTGCTAGGGCAAAGCAAGAGCTAACAGGGCCCATCCACCAATTCCTTTTCGGCGCTCGCGTCAATTGTAAAATTTTCATGATTCATAAATAGGCATGCACACATGTGCTGAAGCGAGGTCAAAAAGTGGCTAATTTTTTGTTCGGTCAAGAAAATCTCTCGGCAGCGCAAACCCTATGGGCTCTTTTATGTTGCATAATAATCTACGAAAATTTCTCTATTCATCCATTATTAGAAAAGATGCCTATCAATTTTCATAAGGGAGCGTTACCATGTCAAAAAAGACAGATTCGAAGAAAAACGCTGCGAAGTTTTTGCATTCTTGGTTCTTCCTTAACAAAGATTTGCGCAGATCTCAATATGCATTTTTTAGCCAAGGGACTGCTCAACACATAGAAACTAAGACCTTGGAAAAAAGTTGACTCTGAAAGAAGTTATGACATTTTAAACTCAAAAATTCAAATCGGACAGAACTTATGCAACAGCCTAATAATAGAGGGACTCTTATCTAAGCCGTTTCATAGGTTTCGCTGCAAAGGAAGAATCCCAAAGCGAGAAAATCGCTATAGAAGGTAAAAGCTCAATGTTGGCTCCGCCCATCAGCGTGGATGGTCCGAAGATGAAAAGTTCAAAATCGGGCTTCGTTGGATAGAAATGTCGAAAATCAGATAATCATGAAGGCGAATTTATGACAACTCTAAGCCCGACCTTGGGCTATCTATCTTTAGACCACACGATGATGCGCGGTGCCAACGTGGAGCTTTCACCTTCTGGAGTGGTTTTTTCGCTTCAAAATTCATCTTATGCAGCAAGACTTGGGCATGACTTCCACAGGGGCCCCTCCGCTATATGACATCAAACTCTCATTACCCTAAATCGGATGGACGGTGCCTTTAAGTTTCACTTACTTGGCATAAACGGTAAAGATCCAATGAATAGTTTTTGTTGGTTCTCGTTCTTCTCTAAAAAATATAATTTCTGCGTTTTATCTGACGTTATGTACCCACTTACTCTTTTACTTTGACATGTGTCGCTCTCTTCTCAAGCAACCGATTTCTTACACTAGCAAAGTGTGGCATCATCCTCACTACAGTAACTTCACTTGGCAATCTACAAACAAAGATTATCTGCTCGTCGTTACGGCTCAAATTTTTTTCTTGATTTTACACTCATAGAAGTGCAGCGCAATCACAGAACGAGTCAAAGCGCATTTCTTCGATTTTTAACACAAAGGTTTTGATTGCTTTTACGTCTCCGAAAAGATTCGTGGTCGTCGATTTGTACTGATGGACTGTGCTGATCTTTTTCTACTGTACGCACAAGGAAGAAGTAAATTCTCTTACCTAATTCCACAAATAGATCCTCGCGGTCGATTAACACGAAGTTGTGATGTCTCTTCTGAGTAGAGAGGCTGTTGAGCATCGTCCCAAAAGGGATCTGGACGCAAATCGGGAGGGTTGTTGTATCCTTGGTCTACCATCATCATACCCATCTAAATTCTCGTGAATTCATTATTTCAGAAATAAACAAATACGATGTGACTAATTAAAGAAGTCCTAGTGCATCCAAGTTTTGTTCTCATTCATTTCTTGTTGTGTATATTTACTGAGTAAATTCCTGCGTTCACTTGCGTGTTTTAGAGGCTTGCTTTTTACACGCCTTCATTTATCATGGACGATCCTAATTGGACTTCTTGAGGAATTTGAAAAGTGCTTATGCGGACATTTGGTCAGTGGAATGCATTTCTGGGAAATTCTACTCAGACAAATGACCGGAACTTCCGCAGAACGCTTGCGGAAGTTCTGACGGGTCACCTGCGAAAGTTCCATAAGCGTGCTGCGGAAGTTCCGAAGAATGCCAACCACAACAGCAAAAGAGAAGACCGAAGCGAGCTTAGAACCTCACTCTACTGACTGTGAGACCAACCTACTATCCTCTACGCTACGGCTGACATGTTCGATAATGCACTCTAGTTGTTGGCAACGCAACGTCACGAGACAACACATTTAAAGTCCTGCGGAAGTCCTGGCAGGCTAAAGTGCTGCGGAGCCTCTGACATTTTTCGGAATTTCCGCAGGATTTTATAGAAGGCTCTGCGGAACTTCCGCTTTTCAGCCATTTTGGCATGAAAATCCCGCGGAAGTTCCGATTTTCAACGTTTTCATTCTTGCAGTAGTGAATGAAATCCTGCGGAACTTCTGCAAGTCTGGTTTGTCCTGCGGAAGTTCCGGTGATTTGTCTGAGTAGCTGCCGATGGGCCATTTTAGTACTTTGAAAGCTCACAAATCATTTTTTTTGCGTGAAAACTACAAAGATACGTTTGATTTATTCGCGCTTCCTCTTAAATGGTCAACATAACTTTATGCTCAAAACTTTGAAGAGTAAGTCTCCACCTCCATCTATCAGATAAAACTAATAATGCTATTGCAACTTTTGCAGAAAAAAAACCATGTTCTCATGCGAATTAAAAATCCTGCAAAAAAGTAGCAAACGTTGCCGTAGATTTTAATGCAGCTTTAATTATGCAAAAAAGAGGTGAGGTTGTCGAACAGATGGTTTTGAACTTCTTGACCACTACAAAAGCTCTCAAAAGGAAAGAACCATTTTCATTGAGGACTAGTTCATGCATCAAAAACTAACGCAATATGTATACTTCTAATTGCTTACCGTAATATTTCTGTCAATAAGTTCATTTGTTTCAAAATCATCGTCATCTTCTCCAAAAGGATTGAGTGCAGCCTCTATCACTTTCATCCATCCCATGTATAGTATGAACTGCAGAATTGTCATAATTGGGATGCAGACATCGAGCTGGAATGGTCTTGTTCTCATAAACGCCTGACTGGAACACAGTTTTTATTAGTTCACCCACGTCGCCGCCTTTCGCTTCTACTGTCGATTGACGATACAGCACACAGAAAACAAAGTAGAGATGAACCGTCAGACATACGACCTGATTTTTGAATTTCATTCCGATATTTCCAGTTTTAGGCCCAAGTGCCACTCCGTTCTAGTCGTATATTTCGAAATGGTGTGGTATTTAACCCACTCAATATTTGTTTTGTATAGGTTTGCATATTTGATTCCCATTTGTGATGTAAAATGCTCGAGGGATAAGCGAAACATTGACATTGAACTGTGGAGACTCCTTCTCCTAGAACGATGAATCAAACAAAGCTGAAAGTCTGCTTCTGCCTGTTTTTATAGCAAGGCTGTCAGCTTTAGGAGGAGATTATAATGCAAGAAAGTGGGGAGGGGGAATGATGTTACCTTAGTTAGATTTGTACAAATGCAAGGAGTTAGTAGACTCTAGACTACTGAGACTAATGAGAAGGTTTACAAAACTTGAGTTGTATTTATATGATCTCTCTCCTACCTCTCTATTTTCACAAAACTCCCTAAAGAATGCTTTTCCATACATAAGAAAAGATACCAGCCAGTAAGTGTTGGTCCCAGGATTTCGGTTTGGAGAGGCAGGAGGCAAACACACTCACTCCGAAATTTTTTTTGAATGCTTCCCAGCATTTCTGCGGGCCCATAATCCCGAAAGCGCAAGAAAATGGGAATTTCTCCCGAAACATTTTTTAGCAAGGCTAAAAAATCTCAAAAATCATCTCATTTGGAAGCAGAATAAGTCACTCGCACAATTTTGCAATACTTACAAGTAACCTTCAAAAATTTCGCGACCTATTTTCGGAGGAGGTGCGCGCCACCTTGCCCCCTCCCCCCCCCCCCTTCCTTGGTACGCCACTGCCTAGTAGGTAGCGAAAGTTACCTTATGGCATTCGCCAGTGCCTTATGTTTTCAAAGTTTGACTCAAGCAGAAAACACTGCTTGTGTTTGAGACATTACACAGAACTTCACTAGCATGTATACAGGGTGCAGCAAAAGTGTGGGAGCCTAACTTTGCAGTACTGCAATTACAAAGATACTGATGGTTTTGATTTCAGTTTTATGCCACATGATGCTGCGGTCATCCTCTACAGAATTCACTTTATTTGGCTGAAAATGGCTGCCATATGCTTTTGTAAGAATGGAAATTACCAACCTAGTAGTTTTGCAAAGCGAAAAAACCAGAATTTTTGGTATTTACATTTTTGCTGTAGCTAGAGATGCTGTTAATATTTTACAAAACTTCGATGCACACAACATAGAAGAGGCTTTGCGCTATTGTATCCTAATTTTGCTTTTGCCAGGAGCTGTTCTTGCATGAACGGATAATAAAAGTTTGCGAATGTTACCTACGTGCCAGTGGATATCCGTCTTCAGAACAAATTTAAAAGCTATAGAATGCTCAACAGGCACTGGAACCGAGGCTGTATTCTTTGCATATGTCTTCTAAATTAGAATCTGTTGAAATTTGGCCATGGGAACACTTTTTATACTTTTTAAACGATATTTTCAAGTTTTTATTCGTGCAATTGTAGCCAAAATTCCGGTATGCGACGTACACATGCTTCTAATTGAAAATACAATATTTTTATTCCTAAGCAATGCAAAAAATTCTTTTGGAAGTATGTTGTAGACAAAAGTTTGCTCTATCACGCTGCGCATTTGCCAAGGTAAAAGAAACAGTTGTTGTGAAGTGGGGCGAATTCCATTACGACTACCTGCGTGCCATGACAGGTGGATTTGCCAAGATTTTGTAGGGCTGCGTGGAAGCCAAAAGAGGGAGTTTTGCTTCAAGAACTGGCTGCATCTGCAATGGTTCGAATTATGTGTGCGCCAAATTTTTCGTTTCTAGGTACTTCCCTTCTCGTTTTGTACGAAAAAGTACTAGGCTCCCAGACTTTTGCCGCACCCTGTACTTTCTGTGATGTACTGATGATTTCTTGGGGAGCAACGCACCTTCTTTTGTAGTTTTTTCAATCACAGTGCCCTTCGCGCCAATACACGCTTCCTAACCTTTCTTATTTGATTCACAATGTTCGAAAATCAACGGGCTAGAAATATGTATTTATGAAGCGCCTCATCTCGTAGGATAATATAGTTTATGGGAATTTTCTTTCATGCGAACAAAATATGCACGCTCTCTTCTCTAAGGAAGCGCTGCATGGTTTGTTTTTGAGTTCGACAATCTCTGCCATCACTTTCCCTTTTTCAAGACTTGACGAAAAATGGACACACTTGAGGATACATGAGAGGAAGTGGCACCCAGTCATGGTTGCTAACCCATTGTAAATCAGTGCGCCATTTCATTATAGTCTGTAATCATAAGAGATGATTTCCGAAGTTGGATATAGGGTTCTGCGTAATCGCGAAGCTCGGTGAGTTTGGCCATTGCTCGTGCATTGAGTTTCCTTAGTCTTCCTTTTATCTTCCAAACGCTTTTTGCTATCAGATGTTAGCTTTCAATTACCCGAAGCGAATTTGAAAAGTACAAGGTTGTTCAAATGGTTTGAAGCTTTGCGGTATCCTGCGTGTGCAATGGTTGCAAATTCAGCGACCTTCCCGATCACGCAGATCCCTACACCTTCAGCTAAGCCCAAATCACTTTTTCCAATATGGACTTGTAATAGTCACTGTCAATGTGGCCATCTTTCCAAGCTTGATATGTCATCTCCAGTGCCCAGTTTGCCGGTATCCAATAATTCGGTGTATTTGGCGTCTCCAATTTTTCGAGAAGCTCTTTTTCATGGGGCATCAAAAAGCCTGAAAAAGGTTGTTTGACAATTTTGAATTTTGTCTCTTATTTTACCTGCAGCAACAATGGTGTCCATTGTTGGAAATCGTCGTCGTACTCTCATACTGACATCTCTGAAGACGAGCACCTAAACTCTTCAAATCACAAATTGATTGTTGTCAGAGATCCTGATTTAAGGGCAGCGTCCAGGCAAAATTCAAGCCCCTTGATTAGTACCTAATCAAGCTTTACCTTATCGAACCACGCCCGCCCTATCAAGCTCCGCCCACTCAAGTACTGAAAGTCTCTGTATCTTCAGGATAGGGCTCTCAGAAATCGATTTTTGGGGGTTTTCGCACATTTTGCATATCATGTCCGTAGTCAGAACGGAAATGCCTCAGAATACCAAAAAATGGAAATGTGGACGCTGCCTAGGTCTATTGCTGTGTTCAAAACAACGAAACGCAAGAACTGAGGGATGATTTAAAGGCAGCGTCCCCGCAGATTTTGCATCTCCATCTTTTTGCATGTTTTGGGCCCGACCTGTAGATCCCGAATCTGAGCTTCAAAAGGGGTGAAAAGCCTTTTTCGGGGCGTTTTTTTTCAATTTCCAAAAGGCAGCTTGGACGAGAATTTTCAAAGGAAAGTCGGGAGGCCCTGGCACGAAGACCCTGCTGCCTGTAATTTTGGCTTTGTATAGCATGCACAATGCAGGGAAGCAGTTGGGGGGTCCCACGCCGTCTAGCGGAGAATACTCGTCCGAACAGGGTGGTAGGGAAGCGAAAGGAGGAAGGGGAGCGGCGCTTGGGCCGCCCCCCTGGATTGCAGAGTTCACATTTTTGGCGCGGAGTTGCTGTTTTGGTTCACTTGGAGGGCCTCCTATCCATCTGTGTCAAAATCTGAGGTTCATTCTGCCGAGCCGCTGCCTTTAATGTACAGATTTCCCCATGTGCCGAGGCTGTTCCAACGCCGTGCAGGAACCCACTTGGAGGCGCCTTGGTATTGATTGATTGATGTTTGGACGTGACATTAGCGCAGCGCTAAAGCGGCGCTGGAACGGCGTTGGAACACTGATATGGGCAACTCTGTACACAGTTTTTGTGCTTCGTACAACCTATACCTCCCAACCTGCACAAGCTCGCAGTAGCGAATGATATTTCTTCTGTAGAGCCTTCCTTTTTCATCTCGCCCTCTAACGTATAAGGCCGTCATGAGACCGACACTTAAGAAAACTTCATGATCGGAGATTGTAATGGATATATGCTTTGTGAACGAGCAATTGTTATATGAAGAGGAATGCAGTCGTAGAAAGGAAAAAGAAGAAATTTCTACTTGTCGATAAATCCTATGTTATGGTATTGTATAGTCCACCGATTGAAAACTTGTGTACAGAAAAATCCCAGCACCAGTTCCAGGGGAATCACCCTCACATAATGTTGCAGTTTGATTGCGAACGAGTCGAATAGCCTACATTTTTTTCTCAAATTGTGAGTCATTAGCGAAAGTTTGCTTACATTTGTTGTTGTCTGTCGAACACTGCACGATAGACGACGCTGATTGTTCCGGCGACTGCCAGGAAAATTAACAACTGTACGTATACGGCCTTCCAGATACTTGCTTTCCATCTAAAGAGGATCCTAGCGAATGCAAACAGTTTCCCGTCAGTGCTCGAGAACATTCGATGGTAGTTCACAGTCATTAGCTGTTAGAGGAGGCGGCTGAGTAAAACCTGGAGGTACTTACGTTTCAGTAGACTTTTTGCATAATGTAGTTGCTTGCGGTGCCGAGGATGGGCAGCGAAATTCGCCCGTGAACAAGTACCCCAATTTCACGCTATAGGACGCAGGGGATTATTTTTTCTAAATCAAACAGCACAGACACAACGAAGGACTTCGCGACCCAGAAACTACATTTAAAGGCCTGCATGATCGCGAGAGTTGGGCGTGCGTACGGCCGACTGCCCCATGGCGCCGCGCACGTCCGATGTCCGTCCCACGACTCAGATAGGTGTCGGACTTACCCAGTTCAACAGGTTCATTCGGTTCACCCCCTATGCTGTTGGTCAGTGCACTGATTTGATCGATAGCGAATGAGTGAGCTGGGCGAACCTGTTGAACAGGATAAGTCTGGCACTTGCCGTAGTGACATTGGCCGTGGGCGGCGTAGTGGGCGTACGTATGTCCGACTCTCGCTATCATGCAGGCCCCTATACAGTGCTACATATTGCTTAAGAGTATGTGCAGCATAAGTCTCGTTTTCCGAAATACAACGAGGCGGCTGAGCGGCACGCTTGAAAAACCGAAAAAGGTGCGTCTTATAACATGAAATTAGGATAGTATCCACCCCAATGATGGCGCAATTCTGCGCGCGTAAGCGGCCGCCACCCTCTGAGTCAAGGGATTGGCGGCTGGAGGACGGAGCTGCTTGGTTCTGCACCTCTTCTCTGAGTGTGCTCTATCTTTTTCCGAGCGTGGGAAACGCGAAGCTCCAATCACTAGAGAGCACGTTGGCGAAAGGGTGCAGAGCCAGGCGAGGCGGCCGCGCGGACGCGAGCACCACGTCAAACCCGTTGAGCCAGAGGGCTACCTGCTCACGCACAACATTGGTCGCATATTCTCGGCACTGCAAGCACAATGAATTGGGCGAAAAAACGGCGCTATTCTAGTATCCGGGCCCCAAAATTTTTTTGTCGTGGATTTCGCTGAAACTTGCCCCAGGGGGGTTATTCGGCCCGCTGATGCCGAATATAACACTTGCTAACCGCCATAGCGGGTCATGGAGTTCTATGGTTTTTGACCCCGCATCTACACCTACAGTAACTACAAAACAACGCGTTGTGGCGGTCAGCAAGTGTTATATTTGGCATCAGCAGGTCAAATAACCCCCTGGGCCAAGTTTCAGCGAATTCCGTGATTTTGACCCCTACCGTATACCCACCGTAACCCCAGAAAATGAGGCTACCGTACAAAACCAATGTGATATTCGGCATCAGCGTGTCGAATAACCCCCCTGGGCCAAGTTTCAGCGAATTCCGTGATTTTGACCCCCTACCGTATACCCACCGTAACCCCAGAAAATGAGGCTACCGTACAAAACCAACGTGATATTCGGCATCAGCGTGTCGAATAACCCCCCTGGGGCAAGTTTCAGCGAAATCCACGACAAAAAAATTTTGGGGCCCGGATACTGGAATAGCGCCGAAAAAACTAATAAATTTTACATAAGCAAATGAGCGTTTACAAATATATAATCAAGCGAGATGTCATCTTTGATGTTGAGTCCTAAGACACTTGTGTATGACTGAAAATAAAATGTCGTCCCCTCTTTGTCGTGCAGATAAGTTAGCGCGGGTAAAGAGCTCTGAACAGGGCTCGGCATGTGGTGGCTTTTTGATTTTTTAAAAACGAAGTCCCCGTAGACTTCGCCACAAAAATACGACATCATCTATGGCGCAATCCTGAATGGGTAAAAACGAATAAGGAGAAATAATGGAACAAAACATAAAGTAACATTGAACAGACCGAAAAGAACTGGAAATGTTTGTATCCTCCGAATTGGCGGCATGCTGTGTCCGACGCGCACCCTTGCGCACTTGGAGCAGGCTTGCCGCTGCCATACAAAATATTTGGAGGACTGTAACTAAGCGGGGAGGAGGGGACTTAGGTAGATTCAAAAATGTAGGGTTTTTGATGTAGAACAGAGTTATGTCAAACGTCTGGAAAAACTATGTGAAGGAAATGAAATTTATGGCTTTTTCGTTTTACAGCCACCTCGGGTGCTGGAAAGCCAAACTCTAAAAAAGTTGAAAAAGTTGAAAAAGTTACCGAAAAAGTTTGCCACGCCTTCAGTTCACGTAAGTTTTTCATAACTTTTCGCACATAGTTCTAACTCCCTATTGACCATCTACACACCAATTTTGGTGTCATTTCATTTTCTCTTCGCTGTAAACGAAGTCTTTTGTTTATTTCGGGGCAAGTTTGAATTCGCGTGCTTACCCGGCGGACCTGTTGGAACAGAAAATTTTTGGTTTTTGCAGGAATGGGGATCGATAAGGCTGGAAAGATAATTTGCGTCCTGTATAGAAGATGAAAGGTGACACAAAGGAAGAAGGCGATTGTGTGTGGGGGTGGGGGGGGGGGGGGTCCGCTTGAACTATCCCCTTGCTTTTTATTCCAAAACGATATCTAGCTTGCCTTGTAGGCCACCAGTGCCGAGCCCTGGCTCTTACATCCTCCAGAGCCATTTAAGCGCACCTTGAAGATCTGCAGGGATTCGGCATCTCGTAGTAGGCTGTGATGCGTACAAGTAAACTTACAAGGAAAGGACACTAACTTGGGATCGTCCATCGAGATGAGGCACATATATTTGAAATCAGCTCGAAACGCCCGAATATGCTGCACCTAGCTTGATTCAGAAGAGCATTTTGAAGAGCATAATGCTCGGTTTTAAGACCGAAAGTCTTGAATGCAGTGTCCAGGCAAATCTGGGCACATGGATTTTTTGCCTGGAAACTGATGAGGAAGTTCTAGCTAAGGCGGTGCCCAAACCGCAGCGCAAATGATTCAACCATGGCCGAAGAATCCACCTCCAAACATTCCACGCCTGCGCCGTGATCGTAACACTTTGGATGGGTCGCGCGAACGTAGTGTTAAAGTCGAAGTCGTCTTCGGATTACGGTCATGGCGCAGGCGCGGGGTTTTTGGGAACAGATTTTCCAGCCGTGAATGAACCATTTGCGCTGCCACTTGGGCACTGCCGTAGCTAGGACCCCCTCATCTCCAGCCGAAAAACCCATTCAAAAAAACCATTCCATGCAAGCAAAAATTTTGCTGGTGCTTTTGAACTCATTGCTGGAGTTGTTGGTACTCGATTCGAAGATTTTATATTCGAAGTCAGTCTCATATGAAATTCCACAAATTTTTGCGCCGCCTCAACGAATAAGCAATAAGACTTCGCCGAGTACTCAAAATCCATAGGAAACTTTTGGCACAGTTTGAAAGTGACTTAACGCATGTTGTTCGGCATGCCTTTCAGCCCCATAGAATTTTGAATTCATCATATGATTTCATATGCTTCGTCTACATGCTTAAAAAATGTTACGCATACTATTTCCGATATTCGCTGTAAGAATATTGGTAGTTCCACGATAACTGCAGTTGATTAGCGTTGATGTTGAAGATTACAAAGTTTGAACTGCAACGGTCAGGGAATATGGTCGAGTAAAAACGCTGGCTTCCATTTTGATTCCAAATTTTTACACCAGTAAAACATATGAAATGATTTTTCGCATAGTTAAATTTGCATTTTCTTTACTCGTACGTCATGAAATCCAGTTTATGTGAGAACTGGAAAAATGTTTATGGGATTTCAAATGCAGATACTTTCTATTGTCGTATGATATGCTGGATGTGAATTTTGTCAAACGTAAATAAAAATGCTAATAAAAGAAATCAAAAAATTCGTTGAGGGATTTAGTTATGTATCGAAGGAAAAGCGAATGAGGGGCTGCGTCTGCGTACCAGAAATCTTGAAAAGACTGCTTTCTGCATGATAGGATGAAGCATGCGTAACGTCGATTTATGTATAACTCGAGTGTGCATTGCACACCAGCGCGCTACTTCACGACTTTTGAGATTCATCTGTTAATTTCCTGATATTTCTCCCGGTTTTCCCCTCTTTTGGTTTGATTGGATATGTGTAGATAGTCATGTCCACATGACATGACTATCTACACGTGCCCACAGTTTGTTTCGCTGGGAAAGGTTTTGCTAATTGATTATTAGTAAAATGCCGTCAGTTGCCGCGCGCTGTGTGCAGGCTCACTTGGGATACGAATGACGCGCATATATAGTGAGAGAGTAATTCAGTTACTTGAATGAATCTAGAATTATCAGAATTGCTTTTTAATAGTGCTGTAGTCTATAGTCAAGATAGATCGGCTGTGATAATTTTTTGAGCGCACTTTGGTGATTCCATCGCTTCTCATTTTGTATAATCATATGTTATTGATCAAGGGAGAAGTCTCGAGGAAAAAAAGAGCTACAGAAAATGCAGAAACACATTCACCAAAAAAGCAGTAAAGATCTGTACTGGAAGCACATTCCATTGTTTTCACGTCAGTGCAGTGAATATAATTAACGCATACGAATTTCAATGAGGCTAGGAGGTCGGAAAGGAACGGAAAATCTGCATAATGTCAGAAAGACTTCTAACACAGCATAGTTCTAAGAATGCTGTCGTGAAGTTTCAACACATGCATCATCTTGAGACATTCTATTTGAATGCCATTTTTCTGGTGCAATCATTGAACTGCCAACAACATTTTTGAAATGTGTGTTAGCGTCTTCTTGAACCTTGTGCGCTCTCATGATTGATTTTTCCCTTCTTCAACTGACAATATCTGAGTACCAGCTTTATCTACATGGGAACTGTATGAGAGGCCTCAGCTAAGCCATTGCTCGAGTGGCATCACATTTGAATCATTCATGCCTGAGAATTTCAACTCTGAACTCTCGCTCAGACCTTACCTTTTCGAGAGAGCCAGCCAGCATACCGCAGTCGAAAGTGTTGGTTGGTCTGTTCGGCAATTACCATTGTCATCTGTAGTTCAGCTGATTTTCTGCTACGAACGTCTGATGAATGTCGCATGAGTACATATACGCTGCTGCATGACGAAGGCGAAGGGTGGGCGGGCGCGAACGCGGCTCCTTTAGCCGCAGAGCGCATGAGGCGCAGGATCTGTAACGGTGAGAATACGCGCGCGCCGCGTTCGCGCCCGCTTAACTAATAGTGCTTCTGCGCCTTTGTCATGCAGCAACCTTTAGCTTAGTTTGGACTTTCCAGTCATTACTCATTCATATGAACTTAGATACCTTTCGTTCGAGCACTGCCTTTAACTCTGAGGTAATTGCAATATGGTGAATGCTATTACAGTGCCTGACGGTTAATTTTCTAAATTTTCATAAAATATCCGTAATGCTACTCAAACTGTAGTGGCTCTTACTACGTCCCGGAGTTTTACAAAAAAATATTTTGACCATACCAATTTACGGGCATAAGTAAGTATTTTCGCAGTTTCATGACTAATGTAGTAATTTTCAAAAAGCGTTTCTCACCTATTAATTCGCCTTGGGGGCTAGTCTGAAAAGTGGCTTTGAAAGTGTAAACCTCCAAATTCTCCATGTGAAATTTGCAAGAATCAGTCACTCAAAATTATCCGATATGTAGCAGAGATTGTAAAAAATTTAAGTTAGCATTGATCCTCAGTTCAATTCCTTAATGTGATTTAATCTTCAAAATTTTGAAAAATCTTAATGTGTAACTAGATTTTAGCATGCCGAAAGCGATGACGAACGATATATCGGTTCGATGCTTCTGCAGCCACGCAGTCTTTTTCTCATGACAGATGATGCGTATGAAAAACTTCTTCATGGTATCAAAGAGGTAACAGAAGACGTCATCGATGACAAGGTTTTCAATCCTGGAGAGCAGTTAGGAAAAACATTAACACGTGGTACAAGGTAAATGTACAATCGATCACATTTTTATGAAACTGCTCGTTGTTTGGCACGCTTTGATTACATCGTCAGCTTTTAGGAATTCTAAGCGTTTCAAACCATTCTTTCCAGGTTTTCCTTCACAATTCGCCATGTTCCAGTGGTGTCCAAATTAAGCGTTGGAGCACTGCTAACGAAAAAGACGTGATCCACAAATGCATATCTGGGCAGTCTTCCAAAGAAACAAAATGTCGCCTATATGTTTACATTTATGCCATTTTGCCGGTGATGGGTTATTTGAGGTTTTTGTACTTTTTCATATCTCAAAGATTCATTCATAAAATTATTTGACAAATACTCGTATGGCAGAACAGTGCATTAGCGCAAATAGCGTTTGAAAAATTCGCCTCAGCCTCGGAGATAAGTTAGAACCTTCTACAAGACCAAAAAAGTATCCGACCATTTTCTTCGCCATCCTTGTTGATTCAACCACGAATCGATTTCATTCCACATCTCCTTCTTCAGAGGAAGCACAAGTTATGTGGTCGAAGACTGGGGGGGGGGTTACATAGGCATTCTAGTGTACTACAAAAATTTGCTATTTTCCTACGAGATTGTCGTTTCTCCACATTCATCAAGCTCCTGCTAGTCGTCTATTTATGACTGGCATCTGAGGTTGATACTCTTTCTACATGCTTAAATTATCGAATGCTTTAAAATTTTCCTCTCAAAGACTCAGTGGCTTTTGGGGAAATCTCATTATACCTTACTCATTGCCTACATATGTTCCTTTACTATATTCAATTGACCGCTGCAGAATTCAAGGGCTTGTAGACCCACTAGATGCTCCAGAGGGGGGAACGCGGGAAATTATTGTCGTTATTGACCAAAAGGGCGCCATTGTTACACCTGTGAAATTCCTATAGCGCCGCCAGACGTCATTTCCAGTTAGCATCAGGTGAAGAAGTTTGTTTCAGTTGATGGTTATGATAGAAGATGATGACATAGCGGTCTTCTCATAATAATCATCTCCAATATTGGGAAAATCTGTTGCAACCAAGAGCCGAAATTATGCAAATCTCATAGATCTTATAATTAACTTTTTCCAAATGCCGCGCTATGAAGACGAGCGATCATCGTCATGACCATTGAAGCGTTGGTTAACCCACCATCTAAGAACAGATAGGTCCGTAGTAAAGCTTGATCAGTTCAGGTGAATTGAACTTAACCCATCAGTCGTACTTACGTCAGGTAAACTGAACCGCCCACCTTCCTATGCTATAAGCATGGCAATGACAGTTGGCCATCCGTCCGCCTGCTGGAGTCAACTATTGCACATCAGTTCACGTTCAATTAATCTGAACATGAATATTAGAGTAATGCAAATAGTGTGGAAAAGAGGAGACGCAGAGAAGATTCCCATAAGTTGCTCCCGAGTAACTTACGATACACACCAATTTGCCTAACACTGCGGACAAAATCGGCGCAAAACTGCACATACGGGGACCGAAAAGGAGAGAATCGATGAACAGCTGATTTTGGCGTGGAAAGGAAGAAACCAGTTTTCTTTTCTTTTTTGTAAACTCTGCTGACTTTTTTCGAAAAGCTTCTTAAGGCAAGAATTTATTGAGTTAATTCATTGAGTTCATATTGCAACCACTTCAAATTTTCATGAAATTTTCGTCAAAAGATATGTTTTTGTTTTATCTATGCATGTGCTAGGCGAGATCCTTGATAGCGGTCATCATCGATTTTGCGATAGTGGTCGCTATCGAAGACGTCAGACTATACAGCAAAATTGCGGCGCTGACCGGTGTTGAACCATGGCCGCGGGCATTCAATCCCAATCGCTTACCTGTTGACCAAATTGGCTCCATTGGTTCATTTTTCAAGAACACACATGATTATCATGATTGGAAAGCGATCCGCATCCAGATCAACAGCTCACTGAATCTGGACTGAGGCGCGATGAGATCACCCCTGGTGCGTGTCAAGAGAGATGCCTTGATGAGAGGTTTACTACGAGCCATAATCTCGCTTCCAGGGGCGATAGATCTTTACCACAATAACCCGGGAGGATTGAAGTACTGACTTGGCGACGGGTTGACTTTCGCAAATTAGTATGAAAGTTTGCGTTTGTTCGGTAACTGCTCGACTATTTTATTTATTGTTAGAAAGCACATCTGTTCACTATGCTAGCTCGCACGCAAAATAATAAAGGGGATGATTGTCAATGTCACAGAGTGGGAGAAAAGAGTTAGGAATAACTTTAGCCTATCCTTCGCCCTCGCGACGTATGTAAGTAATGAATCTCATGTATAATTTTTTCAGAATATCAAAACCTTGGATAGAATCGCTGAGGCTCACTATCGATTGTGCAAGTACTTTGACTATGATTTAAAGGCAGTGGCTCGGCAAATCTCAACTTAGTCAAATTTTCACTTACCTGGGGTTATTCAATATGAAAATCCACTTTAGAGAGCTTGAAAACGCCGAAAATAAGCATTTTTCAATATCCTTTCCTTTGGAATTGGGCGAGTGCAGCAAGGCTGATGACGCCGAATCGTTGCAGGACCCAATGATTAAAGCATTGCGGCGGGCAGCCTCCAATGGTGAGAAGGGAATTGCCAACTCGTCCGGATGCGTAAGAACGGAGGACCGGCCCGCCGCCCTTCGCCGTCGGCTCAGTACTCGCCGCAGTCCGCATCGCATTGAAAATCATCATTGAAGCGCGTTTTTGCGTTGGCCTTGCAAATATGCAAGGACTTAGCACCACCATGCTAGTACCCATCACCACTGTTCATCACTTTGTAATCATCTAGCGTAGGCATCTGCTAGAAAAGGACAAGGGCCACGGTAAATCCATGACCTCATGCCGTACACCTTCCAGAACTCCACGAAGAAGCCTCGTTATGCAAAAATAATATGCTGTTTGTGTTTAGCATACCAGATAATCCTCTTAGACCAATCAAAGCCAAATCTGTGGTTTTGACCCCGACACACAATGCAAGAAGAAAAATAAGTTGTCGGAAAATTTTCGTAAATAACGTGTGGGATAATGCCCATCTATTGTGTTCCAGCAAAAATCACAGCTTTGAAATTTGAGGCCTGGATGTTAGAATAGCGCCAATCTCGTAGAGGCGGAATGCTTGTACACTGCTATGTAAACCTCCACCATCCACTCAAGACTTGTGCGGAGGACGCTGCACAACACATTATCCTACCAGGGAGAACAGACTGAACAGCACAGCGACTCTACATTTCCACATCGCCTTACTAGTCATCTTCAGACAATGAGCGTGAATTGTGAAGCCTAAGTCGTAGATGTTCATCCTTGTTGCGATGTCTGTTGCGAAAATCTCTCGGATTGTATTCTAGTGGATTTAGTGCATTACTGTGACTTAGTGAATGCGATACTCTCGTCTGATAGGAAGGTAACGCCTCAAAACCACATTTAGCGAAATGTAAATCAGTAGTTTTGAATTGGTATTACTGCCAGAACTCTGCCCTGGACTAAAGCTGATGAACTTATTGACAAATTTGGAATCCCGCTAATGCCATATTTCCCGTGACTGGACAAGCATGTGAGTGGACAGAGTCACTGGCTCTAATTTGCATACCATACTGACATCCTAGCTGTCCAACCTGTCCAATCATAAAGCCTTGTCTTCTTGGGGTACACAGTGAGTCTAATCCGGAACGCGCAAAAAGTTGTGATCTCAGCAAGAGATTGCAATATTTTTATACATGTTCTATCCTCTCTAATGATAAGAAGCGGACAATCAAAAATGGAGAAAAATTTTCGAAAAAAAATTTGCGTAGACTCATGCCTATCTTTACAGCATACGTCTCTCCTTAGTGCCTGCTTATATTTTACTGCATATTTTAGTGCTGACCCATAGTTGTGATAGAAGATTGTTTGGCGTCTACCATCTGACACAAAAGCACACGAGGCAAAGTGATCGATTTGTTGGCGAACTACTCTGCCAAACGGAGCCATAACGAGATCTACGCATAGAAAAAACGTTTGAAAAACACTTTCCGTCTGATAGCTTAGAACAGTTGCGCAAAATTCCCTCATGCTTAATGAAACGAGTATACGGGTGCACGCGTCGCCTTTGAGCCGCGACGCGTACTGAGCCGACAGTGAAGGGCGGCGGGCCGATCTTCGTAAGAACGGCCTGCGCGTGTGAGTTTGAGAGCAATTTTCTCGGCAAGGAAGGCATGCTCTGCAACCGGGATTGCACTGTTTTCATATTTGGGCATGGTCACACCGGCGAGCAACATGAAAATGAAACTCTAGATCAGAATTTACCACTGTTTTGAGGAGCGGTAAGATTGCGTATGCACTTGAATCGAAATGCATCCAAACAATTATACACGTATCACATCAGTCTCCTCATAAACTCTACAGTAAAGATGGTTTATTGGAAGCGTTTTGTGATAAACTTACTATAGAAAGGCCTGAATCTCCTAGCCGATTTTCGTGGGTGCTTATATGTAGATAGGCGTGCACATGCATTTATGTGGAATGTTGAGATAATGCCATCATTGAGAACCATCGTAGTGGTGTTCCGGCACTTCTAATACAAAATGTACCTTGTAATTCCTTGATACCTTGTAAATCGAACTGGACCGATCTGTAGGTTCGCCCCTTGGTCAAAAAATCCGGTATTCACTGCATCTTCTTTGTTTTCTAATTCGAGAGTAAGACATCAGGTCGCTGAGAACCCTCTGTACTTCAAACTACGCACTTTTGAAAACTGCAAGTCATGGACGATACAGAACCAGGATATGTTTATAGGTGCCCATTCTTCCAAAGCAGGACATGATGGGAAATTTCTTTATGGCGAAGCATTAACGGAGCGAAACTCGGAGTGCTTTGGCAATCAGCAGGCTTGTATTGAATTATTGTTTATCTTTTGAAGTACTTCAAGAGAGAAGCGTCTATTCGACTCGTTTGCTGGTACTAGGAAATTATCGAGTAGTAGAGGTGTTGTATTTTAGTCAAAAGTTTGTTGGCCACCAAGTGGTCTTTTATCAAGCCAAACATTGCCTTTTATAAGTTATGCCTATAAGAGCACTGTTACCGTAAATGAACTTTATTATTATGCGATAGTCAGTGCAGAGAAAGATGTGGACAAGATTTTTTCGAACGAACTGATAGTAAAATGAAGAACAGGGTTGTTTTCACTACAACAAGTCACGGGAAACAAGCTTTCTCTTCTCCCGTTATCAATCAATTCTAGAACCATGGTCTCAATAATTCCATGATTCGTCAACTCATACTTGAGGGTCTTACCATAAATGATAAGTTTCACTTTATTATCAACTCGACCACCATTCTTCTAGATTTACGCGTATCTGTGTGTTTTCCTCCAATTCAACAGCATCTCATCTAAGCAACTCTTTAAAGGTGCAACCTGTGGCCGTATTCATCAACGAACAACCCAGTGGGTTACGGAACCCAGTTCAGTGCTTTTGATGAATATCGATTCTACTCCAGAGTAGAATCGATATTCATCAAAAGCACTAAATGGGTTCCGGAACCCACTGGGTTGTTCGTTGATGAATACGGCCACTAAAAACCTGACCTCTCAATCTCTTCGAGAAAAAAGAGATAGCCTTTTTAAGTATTTGCCAGGCTTTCAAATTTGAAGCCGTTTTATGCGGTCTTCTCCCGATGCAAAATTGCAACAAATATGCGAAATAGAGCTAAAGAGGCTAAAAAGTTTTGAAGATTATTCTTGACTTCGAGTTAGCTCTATGTGCGCACAGAGAGAAAATGTAGACTTGTGGCTTTTACAAGATATGAAATTTTCCAATATTTTATACATTGGAGAGTATCAGAAAATGGAAATTTTCTTGTTCATCCTTGTAAAACCATGTAAGCAGCAGTTAACTCGGCCAACTATGAACAAGCAATGCCGTTGAAAGCCGCGCAAAAAGCTTACTTAAAAGATCACATGTGGTCTCCCGTTCTTTGAGGCCAGCAGCATTTTCGTGTACGGAAGTTTATTTTCACTATTTAGCACTCAGAGTTTATAGCAGAGATGCCACAAATGACAGCTTTCAAAATCGTAACTTTCACATATCGATCACCGTTTTGAAAAACAGGGGTTAAATTCATGGAATGGACAAGTATTTCGTTCTACCTTGGTTAATCGCATTTCGCTTTGCTTGGAGGGAGGGGTATGCAGAGTCGTTCAATGCATATATTCACCGCAGATCTCCTACACAGATGAATTGTACGTCAAAAGATTAAGGTGTTGTAAAGCCTTGATAGTTTTAGACCATTGGGAACTTCACTGAAACATAAGATGAACAGACGAGTTAGGCCTCGGGTATATTTTACGCGATTTCAGTCGCGAAGCGATTTGACAATAATCCAAATGTTTATAACTCATTGGACGCATTCATGTAAGAAAATGGGACATTATATTACTTTACGAAGGTTATAATGGCTACGCATTTGTAATCTGCCATTGTTGGAGTTGAAGAAGTCTGGCAAATTGCCAGATTGCGTGGCGACTGAAATCGCGTGAAGTATGCCCCGAGGCCTTATGGTTAGAAACACCCCTCACTTCACTCTGACAATTATATTCTCTCAACATAATATGACTCTTGTGCGGGTCTGATTTTTGAGGTGGAAGAACCAGCGCTTATGATTCTATCGCATACACTGTTAGTAATGTATGCCAAACCGAGGGACCATTGAAGCTCGACTACAGCTAGGGTGTCAAAAAGAATATAAAAACTGGCCGAAAAGAATATAAAAACTCCTAAAAACATAAACAATAAGTAGATCAAACGCTCTTTCAACTACTGACACATATATATTAAAAAAGCAATATTATTCACAACAATTACGGGCAGCAAGATGGTCTTTGATTGTAGGTTATTATTGGATGTTTTAAATTTGAAAAACAATGTTTATAAAAATTTGACCATGCTGGTAAGATCGAGATCGGATCGGAAGTTTGCAGATGCCAAAACCGAAATGAAAAAAAAAGTATGAACTCACAGAGACTCATGCACTCTTTTCTAGTTAAGGTTGTTAGAACTTGTGCGGTAATTACGACGCTTGCACTTGCTCGTTTATTTATTTTTATATTCCTAGTTTTGTGTTACCGTATCATAAGCGCATAAGCGCATACTAACAAGCGAAGTACCGTAACTCACAATGACCCCACACCACTGTACTCTTGGTTGTCGCGCTGGTACTAAGCTGAAATGGCCCTTGAATGAGTTACAATCGGAGATGACGTTTTCGGTGCGGTAAAGCGGCGCGCATTGCGTAATCTCTTACAGTGCCATATGGGCGATTCGTCTGGCGTGCAGCCGTCTGGAAAATTTCGAATCAAAGGGCGGCGGAGGGATGAGCAGCAGTGCGAAGAAAACAACCACTGTCGCCGCAAGCGATAAATCCCTCTTCGAGATGGCACCCAAGCCCGAAATGACTCCCAATGACATGATTTACTGCAAAATCTCTTCATAGATCGCTGCTTCGGAGCTTAAGAGTCAAATTCGAGTCTAGAAGTGGAAGATGTGCATTCCAAGACACAAACTGTGGGACTCAAATGCTTTTGTATCTAGGCCTTGGCCATACCCCACGCGATTTCTGTCACGATGCGATTTGGCACTACTCCAAGTGTCCGTAACTCATCGCCCGTCCATTGTAAATGTGCAGAGGATAGGGCATTTTATCAGTTCAAGCTATGGAAGTATACAGACTGTCATTTGAAGGCTGGCAGTGTTGGATCAGAAGACATCTGGGAAATTGCCAGAATATGTGGCGGCTGAATTCGCATGAGATATGGTCAAGACCTTAGAAAGAAAATGCGAACACTGTTGTGCTACAATAAAGTGAAATAATTGTTACAAACTTGCACATTTTGTCGATGATATCATACTGTCAATTCTCACAGTACACTAGTTGATTGGAAGTATGAAGGAATTAACATAACGCGTGGTCTCATATGAAAATTGGTATATCTCAGAGACAACCCCAATTAAGATTTCGACACTAGATGTTCGTGCAAAACAGTCCTATTGCCATAAGAAACGGCATCAAAAGTTACCCTCAATAATGCACAGTTAGAGCCACAACTTAGGTCCATTTTTTCAAACAGACGGATTTTCTTTTAGTGTGATTTTGAGTTTTACCTGTGCTTATGAACCAGACAAACATGATTGGAGGGGAAAGGGAGCTTGAGGCTAATAAGCCATTTTATGATGTTGATCTACTCGACTACTTAAATTGTTCTGAATGAATAACCTGGAAGTGAATGGAAATCGATCCATAAAAAGTGAATGCATAGTACCTGATTGATTTCCTTAATATTATTCTTGAAACTGAAATATTGTGTCTTATTCTGAAAAACGAGTTCAGCTACAATACCAAAACTCAATTATTCCTCTTTTGGAAAAAGATTTTGGCTGGTTCAATGTGACACCGACTCAATTTAGCCCTGAAAAAACAGATCTGTAATCATGTCTAAAAGTCTGTTTTTTGAAAGCGTTTTTTATCTTCGAAATATCGCAGTTTCAACGAAGCCACAAGAAAATAGGGCTCTTCCTATATCAGTGGATCATTGTTCACTTTGGCATATCAATCGCAATAGCCGGCAGAAGCTTCTGAATGATGTGCAAACTTCCCTTGTTTGCAGTTTCGCCATGTTATTGAATTTTCCAATTTATCGAGCTTAGCTTTGGGACCTACACCGGACCTTAGGGGCAATCGAAAATCGCTTTTGTTCATCAGGGCATTACTTGACCTTCTGGCAAAGGTCAAAAGATATCAACTATGCTACAGTTCTGTACATCCCGTTGTACTGCCAAAACTAAAGGCACATTTCTACGATAATATGGCTTCAGAGGTCGAATAGAAGCTGGCCATCACATTTGCAAGGAGGTATTTGCCATTAGTCAGAAGATAGTAGACATTCAAGCAATTCATCTTCATCATTTCTGGCCAATATGTCCGAAAATCAAAGGCAGTAGGGATTGTTTCCCCATTCCTTGCCGTAATCCCCATTCCATCATTCGCCATAGGGCGTGGTCGTGCTGGGTATACGGTAGCCGCGGCGAGGATCCGCCCGCTCAGCTACCGTGCTCGCGCCCCTCAAGCCCCTGCGTTCCCCCGTAAGCCAGAATAAGCCTAGCGTGGCTCCTGCACGAAATCCTCACCGGGATCAATTTCCTAACGATTAATCCGTTCACTCATAAGCTCCCGAGGGCTTATGGATCACAGCTTTCCTTCGCATTTGGTCTGTGCGGCTGTGTCAGCGCTTGACGGCGGAATTGGCGCTGGTCTGTCAGCGCTTGGCGCTGGGTCATCGTTGCCTGATCTTGGGTCAGGTGCCAGAGCCGAGGATTACGACACGAACGTCTTTGGCTACTCTGTTCCACTTCCGGCTACGGATGGAAGTTTTTCGACTAAATTACCTAAAAGTAAGTCTCATCGCCTTTCTTCGCCTTCAGATTTGTCAATTTCCTAAACTATGAATTGACAGTAAGCCCATATAGAGGTGGCTTCATGTTCTACTCGTTTTTATGTCTTTGGATCTGTTTTGCGATTTGAGCTCTTAATGATAAAGGATAAAAACATTCCAAGGTTTTTATTTCATTTCCGCATCCCATCTACTTAAAAACTATACACTATTCTATACGGGAAGCTAATTCATTTTCTAAACAAAATTTCGTCTTCATGCTCTAAGTTGACTCTTTTCATGCCTAAATAAGGAAAACCGTGGGTGACAGGATCATTGCGATCAAATAATGTGCTGCTCTTCTTTTTTTTAATTTTGAAAAGTGAATAGCAGAGTCATGACCCTTTATCCTCGTCCTCTCTCGTCACTGTGACTAAACTACCCAAGTTAAGGTTTATAACAGTCTCAATTTTCATGCTTTTCAAATCTTTGAGATGGTGTTGAAAGATTTACGTGCCCTTTTTTGATTTTTCCAAACAGTGATTTTAGTCGAAGTTGACAAAACCGAAGATTTGGAAGATGAAAGGGAAGAGAACAGCAGCGCAGTTTCTCCAACCACTTCCACAAAAGCGCACAAACCTCGGCGTCAAAGAACACACTTTACTAGTCACCAGGTTCGGAATATTCTTATTGTTAGTATATTCAGCCCTAAAAACTTCTATTTTCTAGCTGACCGAACTCGAGAATTGGTTCGCCAGAAATCGCTATCCGGATATGGCTACGCGAGAGGAGATCGCAATTTGGATCAGTTTGACTGAACCAAGAGTGAGGGTAAGTGTTTCTATTTTTCTCAAAACCATCCCAATCCCATTTCTTCTTCTTGTCACTGATGACATTTCGCCTATGCCATGCATGTTCGACGCCTTTTCCGACATTTCAATTAGCCGCGACATCTTATCCATTAACGCAATGCTATACACATTCGGCGTTCCTGTAATTACCTCATTCCCCGGGGAACCTCGACGCTCGTCATACTGTCAGTGCTAAATACAGCCTCGAATGTCCTTCCTGTCTTATGTTGTTGGAGCTTTTTCAAAGAAATTGAGTTCCAGGTTTGGTTCAAGAATCGCCGAGCAAAGTGGCGTAAAAGAGAGCGAAACTATGTGGATACAAAGGGACTCAATACAACACTCGGATCATCAATGGGGACGATTGGAGGGCTACAGACGGGTCTGGGTCTCAGCAGTTTGCAAACTGGTCTACAACAATCATTTCTGCACACATCTGGCCAGGTGAGCATGAAGCTATGCATTAACGAACTTGATAAGCGAATTCGAGGGAGGTCGTTGCTGAAACTTTCGTTCCGAGGCCCAATGATTTTTGTTACAATTCAATTACGTTACTGACGACTATGATTCTGCAGTATAGTATATCAATGCATGCGCAGACTATAGCGTGTTTCGCCAGAAATGATACGTAGATGATAATAATGTCAACTCTTCGGATCAAAATCTGTCTTACACAGTGAAAATTTGGGCATTTTACTTTTATTATGTTGGGGTCGGTAATCGTCATTTCGAGGCTTACTGATTGATTTTGCGCAGTTTTTTTTCAATCTGCACATCTGATAATCCGAAGTAAAAATCCATGCATTTTTCAAATTCACAGGACGTACAGCTTTGAAGATCTGAGGTAAAAGCACACTTCCACATAATTTCGGCTGAGGACTTTTGCCTTTTACATTACTCCAAATAATGGACTTTCCTCTTGTTTCTAAGAAGGAAAGGACCTAAGTCAGGGGGTTTTCAGATGAGGTATCAGTTTGAGGGGCAATGAACGCTATTCTGAATCTGCTTTCATTATCCACCAAGAGCCTCTGCATTATGAACGCAGCATCTGGCTCAATTGTCATGGTTTTTTTTTTCAGAGCTCGAACAGAATAGTGTTGAGCTTGAGAATGAATAAAAGGTACTTCATGTAAGAGTTGATATCGAAACTGATATCCATTGAACCTTGAACGATTTTGTTCCACTTCCGCAATTAATTTGTTTAGCCAAGAACTCGTAAGTCAGTGTCTAGAGTGGCTTAGCAGGTAACGACAGTCCTGGATAATCGTTCAAAATCAAATTATCAAATTTTACCAATCGAAGTCAATTTCAAATTCTAATCGTTCTTCAGATTGATACTGATTTCATACGGAAAGCCCTTTTCGACTTCGCGTCGTTCCCTTGTAAGCAGTTAAGAAGTGACGCAATTAGGAATTTGCATTAAAAAATCTCAGTGCGCATTGTTTCCGCATGCCCTTTCATCTTTTTCATCTTCGTAATCAAAAATAAATTCATAGTTACAATTGCGAAGTCACTAATGAACGTGAAAACATCTTTGCTCGGTTAATTTCTCAAACATAAGGAGCTCCGAGAACATTCGTGACCTTTGCCAAATTTGGCTTCTGGCGTTACGTTGTCTGCCACTCTCTCCTCTTTGCCAGTTTTGTTTATATTTCGCCAGCTGCCTCTTCGTTACGGTAAACATGACATGCAGTGTCCTTCACAATATACCAGAAGCTATTTATTTGAACTTTCTAGCATCCATTCAACTAGCTCGACAGACTTCCCTAAGTATCAGGATCTTTTCATGTGAACGGCTTCCAGCATTTGCACGTGTGTCTCAATAATACACTTTTAGATTGATGAGAGCTCCTTTTACGGTTACGGTAGCGGTTGGCAGACAAGCAACTACCAGCCGAGGGGCGGGCAAACTGCTTTCAATTGGTCGATGAAAAATCAGGTAGGAGGAACTTTTTTGCATCGATTACCGTAACCACAATGACGTTCTGTAATTCTGCGTAATGTGACATCCTGTGTGATACTTGGAGCTCAAGCAAAGCAGACTGGCAGGAAACTTTCGTCTAAAATTTGATCTCAGAGATGTCTATGGAATGGTCTTGTGAGTAGTAATGGGGGTGGCGAAACAGTTGGATGTTACACTGAACAAAAACTTTGCAATTTTCTTATTGCTTCGATTTTCTCAAACCCGAACGCATATGTCCGTGACTCCTTTCTTTAAATCACGAGCACAGACTGAATATTCGTAATATATTACAGTTCGCATCCGGTCTCCCAGTGATGTCACAAGGTCGATTCTCATCACCGATGTCTGCCCTGCATTCCATGCCTGGGTATGTGTCATTAACAAATTGTGATAGATTGTGACGTTTATAAAAAATAGAATTTGTTCTGGGATATTTAGGGACAACAAAAACATATTTCTGAAATATTACGAAAGCTTTCAATCGGAGATTGCCTTCTGGGAGATTTTTTTAATCAACTAAGATTTTGTTAGAAAGAACGCAAAATTTTTTGATATAGACGGGTAGTATCACTTAGACATGTTCTGAATGCACGGCTCAATTACTACATTTTTGACTATTTTTTCGAAACTTTAGAAAAAAAATCTCTTCTAAACCCGTAGCTAAACTCAATGTTCTTCGCAGTGCTCAATTGAAAATATCATGACCATTACGAAGCATTACCCAACTTGTCACGAAATATAGTCAGATCATATTGAATGTCAAAACCCTCAAAAAACGGAACAAAAAGGAGCAGTGAAACCATACTTTCACAACAGTATGAAAATACCGTATAATTTCCATATTTTGAAATTTTATTTGAAACTCGCTATCAAACATTAGGTTTATATAAGTGTTGAGGAAGTCTTAGTGTCACTGCATCAATTTTATTTTTCCATCCTTTTGGGTTCGTTTCAGTCATAGTCAATCGTGAATATGAGAGCTAGTACAGTGCAATACTTATTATTTCACAATAAACGCAAAAACTGACAATTCGCGTTTTTTCCTTCTTCCTTCGCATTGCATAAAATATAGATCCGATAAAAGAGTGATGCTCAGCTCGTCAAGGCGAATCTTACTACACTATCACTATCTACTATCTATGCTGAACACTTCTCTTCTATAGGATCCACATTTTATGCAATCCGAAAGAAGTTACGAAGAGAAAAAAAAGAAAAGAGAAAAAACACGAATAGTCATTGCTTTCTGTCGAATAATTAGTGCGGGTACTGGCCATTGACCTAAACTAGGCATAATTTTTGTAAATAACGTACAAACCTGAACGTTGAACTCGAAATTTCAGCCTTTTTCATACAAGCATGGAATCATCACTTTGTTTTCAGAGCAACTCAAGCACTACCATCTTCATTAAATCAGTCGCTTCAACAGCAAGACAAACTGAAGTTGATGGATGGGCTCAGTTCATCGCTAAATGCTTCTTCTTTCCAAGGAGCTTTACCGCTCAATACCAGTTATGCAAACTCTTGTCAATACACTGGACCACTGTAGTCATAGTATCGCATACCATCAATATATTCGATTTGTCCCGTCTAGTCTGTCACTATCAGTCATTTCCCTACTAAGGGACTCCTCGCTTTTGTCGCTCAAAATTGGTGAAACTTACGAATGTCTGGTCTCTGGGCTTACTCTGTCAAGCCGCGAAATCACTATCTAGTCAGGATGATGTTGCAAGTCCGTAACATCACATTGATTGTACATATTCTACTTCTCATGGCTTCAAGGTTATTGCTATTTGCAATTCAACTTCCCGCTTATGTATTGTGTAATCTGTTCCGAATAAATTAGAGATTACGTATGTCCTTACGTGACAAATATAGTGACCTCCTATCTTGCCATATATCAGTGTTTGAGAATGGATTGGCAAACTGGATTCGCTATCTATCCAACAATTTATTTCACAAGGATTTAGAGTATCACGAAGACAATGTAAACGAGAGAAAAACTTTGGCTGCCTCAAGTCTTCCTGACCTCAGAATTTGATTTCATTTTTGATCTCCAGTTCCCGAATTAGGCTGTCATCACTCAGACAAGTTTTAATTTCTTTGAACATTTTCTTCCGTTTCCGGATAGGTGAGAATAAAAGTAACTTTAAGCGAGTCTACTTCGAAGTTTGTTCAGGATGGTTAGTTGACGCAATGTGACAGTATTCGTCAACGAACCCTGCGATTAGCCTACTCCAGTGGGCAGGGTAGGCAACCTAAAGTCGGTATGCACAAAGCTAATGGGTTAGCCTACCAGTCACACCTTAGATACGTAGAGCCATATACTCTGGTCACCTTCACTTTGAGTGACATTACGAATATAACCTTCACCAAAAAAAAAACAGAAGTCATCCGTCTCCGAATGTTAAGATCATAAATATCGGAATGAGTGTGAATGAAGTAAGTGTGGTGAATAACATCCCAAAAATATCTCAACAAGACCGAAACATTGCGTTCCTATAACCTTCTTTGTAGCAAAGACGGATTTCTATGTAAATTTGTTGTCAGTATCCAAGTCGTGTCATGACGATACATATAATGTTGCGCAATTTCGTTAAGACCCCGGAGATCTGCGACCAAAGCCAAATGTCCCGTCGGCTCTGGTCTTTCTCCTCTGCTTGTCTGCGTGTCCGCGCACTGCACGCTACCTCGCTACCCTAAACGGGGAAGGGGCACTTGACTCTTCCTCTTTTCTTCGTTGTTCTAAACCAACTTCTAACAGTATATCAAATTGGAGCTCTTGATTTTTGATATATACGAGAAATCTAGCAAAAATTATGTTTTGAAAATCTCTTGTTTTTTCTCCAGCAGTTCTTTTCAAGCGGTTTTTTAAGCTTTGATAGATCTTGCTGGGTGGAGGAACGAAAACCTCAATTAGGCACCGCCTCCGCGGACTATTGGTCCCAACACGATGCGTTACAGCTTAGGACGAAAGGACCAGCAGCCCGCGGAGGTGGTACCTAATTGAGGTGTTCGTTCCTCCACCCAGTGGTTTTTGTCCAAAAGCCTTTATTAGACTTAGTAAATGACTATTTCTTACACGATTGAGGGCGTCTTGCCCAGGACTATGGGCATAACAAAGCTGACAAGTCGCCAGATACAGAAATTACGAGAAGGGGGTAAAAATTCAAAGTACGCATCAGAAAGTAGGTTGTCCTTGTCGTGCATTCGGACTTAGGAAAAAGCAAAACTTTACGTTTTCATAAGTGATTCTTTTCTCCTTATTCGCTTTTTGATGATCACAACTACCGAAACATGTTCCTTTTGAATCATTCATAAAGAGATGAACTAGAATACCCTCGTTTTCCTCATGTTGTGGATTGCTTGATCCGGATCGAAAACCTGCAATTTGAGATGCCGCCAATGAATTTCAAACTTATTGCAGCGTTTTCATCCGATTTTTTGAGGTTTTTTCTACTTTTGCCATTTGTTTTGCATTTTTTCTCTGTTTTTTCAAAGCAACCTTCACTTTTGTGGGTGGCATATATTTTAACATCCTTCACTTTTGAGTCGCTGTCTCTAGACTATGGAAAGTATACTAACAGTGTCATATTCAACATCGAACCCAGTGTGTAGGCTATCCCACTAGGTAAGTCAACCCACTGGGTAGGCTAACCCAGCCAGGTGCGATTAAACTAGCCCGACGACTAGTGCGTATGTACACGTTGGATAAAAAATATTTTCTTCTAACATGTATATTTAAGCTGTTGTTATGTTATACGAGGCATTCCGAGCTTTTATTGTTACATACCAAATGCACAGATCCAGTAAGAACAGATTTGTCCCAAAATTGTTATATTTCCAAAGATAAGATCTACTAATTTCTAAATTTCTTTTTAGCGTGATGGTGGATGTACAGACGAATAATTCGGTCAATGGATACACCCAAGCCTTCTCTACTCAGCAAACATCAATAAATATTACAGTCTACAATTTCAATTTTCGATTCTTTTGGTTTTTTTCATTTTGAATAGAAGAAAATTTTTTTGCACATAAGCAACTTCACATTTACGCTTCACTAAAAAACGAGGTGTCCTAGTTTTTTTCGCGTCTCTCCTTCGTTGAGAAAAGAGCTCGATTCAAACAAAGTGTACCTTGTGATTTTCACTGAAACACTTTTTGGAATAAACAAAGCATTTGAGGAAAGCTTGTCTGCAACATTTTTACGAATAACCAAATCAAAAATCATTTATTAACCAAGCTGATTTTAACAATCTGAAAAAGAGCGAAACGAGTACAATGCGAAAACGAAGGGCGTGCATGACAATTTCATAAAACTCCAGTTTTTCTCGAAAGTTCAGCGGTCCGATACTGGTTTGTACAGTCATAATGGACAATATGAACGGTTAGGGTGTGATAGAAAGAGAAGGTTCAGAGGTAAGCTGATATGAGAGATGCATCGCTTCACCAACCATAATCATCAGAAATGTAACTAAGAAAACTACTAATGCAAAAACTATCAGCAGCAATCTGTCAAGCACAGTTGCGAGATATTCCCACTCCAAGGCGTACCTAAGCGAATTTTTCACATATTTTTCAGGACCGAACAACTGGTTTACCTTCTTTTGAGTTTACTATCAAGTAAATTGTTATCTGTGGCGCTGAGAGCAGATATACAATGCATTAGTGGCGGTGGCTCAACTTCCTTTTGGAACGAGTTTTGCTGCTGCGGAGAGGGACGAGCTAGAAATCAAGACAAATATTACTCTAAATTATTTTCAAGCAACGATCCCACCATCTCCGTTGCCGTTCATATCCTCCTTCTTTCGTTTTTCGCTAGCTTTCTTCGCAAGTCTTTTCCAATTACTTCTAGCGGTTTCACTTCGCATTAGAGCAGCTTCCTCTGACGATCTGAAAGACTCTCCAATCGTTAACAAAATCATTTTATAATCCAGTAGTGTGTACTTTGGATGCAAAGTTTGCTGGGGAGAGATTTTTGGAAGAGGAGAAGAATTTAAGAGTATTTCATTCGTTGAACTGCTCGAAACCATCTTTGGCGGTTTCTGAAGAAAAACTCTTTTAAGCTTATGTTAGTGAAGAAGAAGGGTTGAAACAATCTGTACCACGTGATGCTTAGCGTGAGCATTTTTATTCTTCTTCGATCGACCAAAGCGCACTCCTGTTTCCTCCCACAGCTCTAAAAGTATAGTGGGAGGGCACATTCGAAGCCAAGAAGCAATCTAAACTTTATATTTCATTTGAATTTTTGATTCTTGCTGTTTCCAATTTTTCCATCAGTAAATGCATCTTGTAGGTGAGCAGAAAGATTCAAGAACATTAAATTTCAAGATAAGAGCGTTTTTCCGTCGATTTCTTCCTTGGAGTTGTTCTCTATCAATGTAGAGATGCGAGGTTTTAAGTGATTACTGAGTCAACAAGGCATACCAACTCCTGAGATAATAAAGGATTTTCTCATATTTTTTGACAAAATTGAAATCTTTCCTTCCCAACCTTGCAGAGAATTCTTACCTTAGGGAAGAGAAAAATGGAAGTGTTAAAAAAATCGCATCATTTTGATGATAGGCAAGTGATCGATTAAGATACGAGAACTAACATAGAATATTCACAATAGTTTTCCATTGAAACTGACCTTGTTGAAGAAAATAAACGAAATGAGTGGAGAAACAGGTCGAGCATACATTTTCTGTAGATGAATATTCAGTATGAATGCTGTGAATAATGTACCAACGAAAATAATTATTATAATCGCCAGGTAGAAGAGCCCTGAAACAATCTTTGCAGAGGTCGCCATGTTTACAGCAGTCATAGCGCAGATGCAGAGCGCGCCGTTAGTTTGCAAAAAGGGCAAGTTCGATTCCGCACGCTGAGAGTCGTGTCCGGTCGGTTGATGTCCAGACTCGTAGATATTGTGTGCTAGAGAAATGTACCCTGTGAAGATCCCTTCTGACGCAGCTGCGCTTGAAGATTCATGCGCAGGGCACATTTATACATTATTTCAGCGCTTCAAATTCACGCTCTGTTTATCGAGTCATGAAGCGTTATTTTGCTTTTTTCTTCATGAAAAAAGGAACTTAAAACTGTTGGAACTCACCAAATAGAGGGACGTAGTCACTAGTGGTCGGCATCTGCTCAGACACCATCATCATCAAGATAGACATAGCCAATAGTGAATCAATCCCGAGAGAAAGCTTTTCTCTCCTGCAAGACGTAGGCGTCAGAGGTTTTCCTTGCATGAACCGCTTTTCGAAAAAAACAATTTGGCTCTGGATAACAAGCATAGCATGAATGTGGATATTTACTAGGTGTGTATTGGGACACCAAACTGCGAAAAATGTGAACTCGTTCACTTTTTTTCTATTTGCGATCTTAGTGGCTACTCGCGTATTGTACGATACGACGTCAATCCCTTCCTGTGCAATTTATGAGCATTTCAAGAGCGTATGGAGTTTTTCCAACAACAAAATCTATTCTATAATTCTCCAACTTCAGATTAGTTAAATTTTTTTTGAACATCTATGGTCCGCAGGAATGATTCAATTATTAATGAACTCCGTTAACGTAACCTGTACTCCGTTTCTGTATATGACATGAATTTAACTGAATATCAAATATACAACGAGCTTGCCAGGAATGAAAGGTTTCTCTTATCCAATAGATTTCTATTTATCAATACTGCTCATAAATCAAAAAAGTCACCTCACCAGATTTCACCGAAATTTGTGTCGCATCCCCATCTTGGTTTAGAGTGGATGAATTCTGAATGCAAGGGCAGCGTTCGGCTTAGCTCGGTGGAGTGCGCCTTTTATCTTTAAAAGTGCCCATTTGGATACCGTGGGCGGTCAGATTTGTAGAAGCCCTCGAGAATTCTCTTTTTTGAATCTGACGTTTCGGTGAATTCCGGTGGAGTTTGTGACTTTTTTAAAGAATTATGAGCGGCATCACTGCAATTGTACCCGAAGAGGAAATTTACCAACCGCTCTGAGCTAGTAGATGCCGCTGTGAAGAACCCTGTGACTGCAACCATAGTAATAACCGATGTAGGGATGATCAAATTCACTATATAATACAAAGGTTTTCGACGAACAACAAGTATAGCCTCGAGTAAAACCCAAGGTTCCGGGCAGCAAACGAACTTCTCCTAAAAATTTAAACTTATCATTTTATGTACCAGGTACATAAGTCTTGACCAAAAACTGGAATTCATAATCCTTCCCATCAACGGAATCTTTTACTTTGATGTATAGTAAATAGAGAAAATGTTGCATTTCCAAAAAAGCTCAATGCAAATTATATTATTGCCATGTCGCAATGATGCAAACTGATAAGGAAAAGTCCTCAAAAAGTGGTCTTATATATATGCTTCAAAATTTTTGAGCCTTCACTAAATCTTAGAAATTTGCGCCGATTGGAGGTTCCTACGAATAAGTAGTCCTGATTTTCGAATCTTTCCATTTAACTTTTTGCTATTGAATCGAAGAATTCTCTAAATGATGATAAAGTGCAACTTTTGTGTGTTGAAGAAATTGTTTATATGCTTTAAAAATTATTTAAACACCTTAAAAACGATTTTTCTTTTATTCTGGTGCTAGAGTTATGTATCAACCTAATACAGTTATACTGTAGGCTGACCTCAATCCTTCTGATATTGAAGCTGACTACCACCCACTCCTCATTGAGAATGAAGTTATCCAGATTCACACCATCGTATTCTGCCGTATAGTCGATGTCACTCTTGGACGACGTCCAAGAGGAAATCGTCAACTTGCATTCTTGCTGGTCATAGGGGAAATATCTGAATATTAGTGGGAGATACCTTAAAAAGGAGCGAGATCACTAAACCTTATATCAAGCATGCAGCTGGTACGGTAAAGAGCAGGGTACATAAATTTGATCTCTGCTCCTCGTTCTCCTTTCCAAAAATTCGTCGTTACTACTACATTTATGTATCGCTCGGTCTCCTCACGATTCATAACCACACTGAAAACCAGGTATTTCAAACGAGTGGCTGAATTTTTGTTCCGCTTTTTCTCGTTAGAGTAAAGCACTCAACAAAAATTGTAAAAAAAATTTGCAATCGATATAGAAGTATCGAAAATGTACCTGTTATAAATGTACGTGTCTGGTAACCATATAGCCTCATAAGGAAGTATGGTTGTATTGATCATCCCGTAAAGATATGGATTCCAGCCCAGAAAGTCATCTCGCCATTTTTGAATCACCCATACATTTAGATCAACATTTTGCTGTTTTTCGTTCTGTAAAAAACAGGAGACTAATAAACCATGATTATGCATTAGTTTATAGAAGGTAAATCATCACTATAGAGCGCCACTTTTACATGAAAAAAAAATGGGCATTTCGCTAAGTACCAAAATTTTGCATTCTTTTTTACACTAAAGCTGTGTTACAACAGGTAGGTCTATCTTTGATTTTTCGGGTTCAAAAGTTGTACTCAGGTCGGTTGCCTCCTTTAGACAGACGCCCTCCCATATTCTCACAAGGCCAAAACTTAATGGTTGGCAAGATGAGATCTTTTGAGCTGAATAAAAAATATATTGAACAAAATGACCTCCATAAGGTTGTCGAATATTGCATTGCGAGGCATTTCGACGTAAAAGCAAACGAAAAGCTAGCACATTGAGAACAACCAAGCGACACCTTGTACCTAGTTCTCATCTAGTTGTATACTATGAAACACATGTTCACGCATTAGAAATAAAGCGAAGTGAGATACAAATCGAGGAGATAAACTATACATGAATGGCGACAAGATTGGGTCCCGAAAGTTCTCGAGTTTCATTTTGAACATTTATAACTTTTCGCTATCTAGACGGGTTCGCTTCTTTGCGATTTTATTAGGAAAATGAATTGTTTCCATTTACGAAGCTTTTTCGCAATCTTTTGCTATGCACTCAATGCAAAGATAAAAATGAAAAAACAAGATTATTTATGCTTCGCTCGATTCAAGATGGGTCGCCAAAAATCTAGAGCGTTGCAGGAAAATCTGAAATAGTCACATTACACACGTTTTATCTGCAACTGAAAAAAAACTGCGCTGTTTGGACGTGTCTGGAAAAAGTTGTTATTTTCGAGAAAAGTGACAAATTAATCAGTTTTGGCGTTTTCTGTAATAGACCCGAAATATATAACTTCTCGCAGAAATGTTCAACTGGCACAATTTTTCCTTTGCTGCAAAGAGTAGGTCATAGAACTTGTGTTCCGATTACTCTATTCCACAACGTTCCACACTTCTGGTGACTCAATTTAAAATGTACGAAGTAAATCTTTTTTTATTTTTATCTCTACAGTGAGTGTATAGTAGAAGATCGTCAAAATGCATAAGATTTGTCTTACTAATAAAATTGTAAAAATGCAGTTGTCGAGATAGCGAAAATTAAAATTTTCGAAAATGAAACGACAGAACTTTCGGGATAACCTAATACTCGATGGTTTCGTTCTGCATTCAACGTTTTGAGCCATAGATCTACGAGAAAAATGAAAAGCATGAAACATTAGGCGTTAATAGAAATTTGAAACACCAGCAGGTGCAAGACCTTATGGGACAATTTGAGAAGTTGTTGCCCAAAGACATTCGGAAGGTTTGTATACCCTGATTTCTCTCAATAATGTCTGCTTGTTAGAAGTGTTTATATTATATTTTATATTTTGTTTTTTTTCAATTTTTTTTCTATTTATTCTTCTATTTTTACGAGATAAATGGAACATTTGCATGTTAAAAAATGATGGATGAAGTTCAGAAGATGACATCTGCGTCGACAGAACGTCGACTATCCAGCAGCCATGCATTTTTTTCGCTGCAACCTGCTCAAAATTCAGAAGAACTCTTGGTGTCACAGAGCAATCATAAAAACACTAACTATGCCTAAAATTTGATAAAGACTCATTGAGAAGGAGACCGTTGTTGGTATTGAATGATTGAGCACTGGGCGAACGCGGGAGTCATATCTGAAATCGCTCGTATTGAACAAAGTAGTACCTTCTTCAAAAATCATATTTCAATTCAGAATGTAGGTTTTTTTTCAGGAGCTATTCATTAAGAAGCTTTCCGGCACTGAACTTAGAAAAAGTGGAGAAAACGAAGTAGACAAAAAGAGTGGCAAGTATTAGGGTGTCTCATAATTTTTCACCGCTTTTAAAGTAAACATCAGCATCTATCGAGAACTGGACCACCTACAAAGGGTATAAATATATGATCGTACTTCCGTATGCACGAGCAATATGATCACATGCGTGGAAGGACCTCAGGACATCTAAGGGCGGAGTTTGCCATTTCACTCCATTCATTTTTTTCTTCATTTCTAACTAGGGAAAAATTACGGAAATTGTACATTTGAATGTTCGATGTGTCCAGCATATGGTTGAATAAATCGGAAATTTTTTAGATTCTTTAAGGGAGATACGATTTTGAAGGCAGAGTTCATTTTCGACTACTATCATATTTCAGCTTGAAAGTTCACGTGGGATACGATTTGGGTAGACTCTTGACAACCATGCCGTAGAGCTTGCTTTGCTCTATCGAATGACTGCTCAAGCCATATCATTTGAAGGAAAAATACAAAAAGACAACGCTTTTAGTGAAAAGGTTAAAAAATTATGAGACACTAGTTGGCAAATTCGGCTCCGCCCGGCTCTGTCAATAACGTATTTGTAATCAGCATGTTCGATTACCCCCTGTGCAAACTTCAAGACCCGTAGCTCAAATTTTGCAAAAAATTGGTAAAATGATATCGATCGATGACGAAAAGTAGCCTATGACACCCGTCGGGGTCCGAAGTGTATGTGTGCCAAGTTTGGTCCGGATCGGTTCAGAAATGGAATTTTCTATTCGGAACATACGTACATACATACATAGAGACAGACAGACAAACAGACAATCAGCTTTATATATAAGATTCTAATAGTAATGGTCGATGCTCTATTTGGGAAAGCATGTTCTTGGTATCACTGAGAGATTTCTGAAAATTGTGCATGTGTAGTTTTTGCCTTTCACCCTGCTCTTTATCAGACATTTCTCAACTAGCGAAACAAAAAAATTTCGATGGTAAAATGTTTATCAAATGAGACAAAAAGTTTCCCTACAAGAACTTAATCTTATATATAAAGCTGAATGTCTGTCTGTATGTCTGTCTGTATGTCTGTACGTATGTGCGGAATAGAAATTTTTATTTCTGAACCGATTTGGACCAAACTTGGCACACATAACTTCGGGGCAGGGAGCGTGTCATAGGCTACTTTTCGTTATCGATCGATATCGATTTTATCGATTTTTTGCAAAATTTGAGCTACGGGGCTGGGAGTTGTCACAGTTGGCACAATCGAGCATGCTGATTACGAATATAATAATGACAGGGCCGGGCGGAGCCGGGTTTGCCAGCTAGTCTATCATAAAATTTCGAATTCAGCATGAATTGCAAACTTCGCGTGAATCTAAATTCAAACCTAGAGAAAGTTTATAAGCTTGGCGCCTAATAATCAGCACTACTTTTGTTAGAGTTGTTGTTTGAGCACGCTAATTCCATTCATTTTGATAGTGAGGGTAGAAGTAAAACTTGCTAGAAAAGGCCACCTTTTTTTCGATGTAGGATATATAAACATTATATTGGATAAAATGACTTCTAGTTAAGATATTAACCTTCTCTTATCCATCAAATCCTTCGCCAACCGGATATGAGGTAGAAACTCTCCTCTAGCATTCATCAGTGCATCGCCTAAATGATAATGACTTTTTCCTCCATATTAATTGTAAGTCTTTCTATCAAAACCCAAGGCTTGTACGCCAAACGGCTTGAAGATTCACTCTCTGCGGGTAGTTGTTTTCAAGCGGAGATTGTGTTTTTTGGCACTAGCTCATAAATAATGACCTGTTAGCTGGAGCAAAAAGATTTGCTTCAATTTGCTTGCTCCAGCAAATGCGGAAGGTTGACAAATTGTTGAAGTAAACACTGAGCAAAAAATCTTTCAACAACGACAAATGAAAATTATTTTTACGCCGATTTTATAACATCGGAAAGCTTTTTCGTTATAAAATCAACCTCAAAAAGAGATTCAAGCTTTTTCACCAAGAATGGTGAAGATGTTTATAATTTCTACACATTAAATCAGAATCTCGCTAGCAAGTGATATTTGGCGACTGTGGATTTTGCATCACAATTGAACGGGTAGAATTGCTTTAAGTTATAAATTTCGACAACTCACTGTTCCTTGCCAAAAAAACTATTATCGTTTAAGTATCAATTTGATCTTCCCTATATCATAAGCGTGTCATCGAGTTTGACTATCTTCAATTCGCAAAGCCTCGAAAAATTTCTCAAGCGTAAAAAGAAATCATTATTCGCAGCTAGAGATCTCATAAGCATTTTCAAAATAGTTTATACCCTCTTTTGAATTGATGATTACATTAGCAGCTTAGAAACGGTTGTTAGGATTTTCAATTCCATTGAGCACATGGACTGAAAATATCCGCACAATTGATAAAATTAGATAATAACGTTTATAATTATGAGATTATAACTTGAGAACTCCGTTTCTTTCCTATCCCCATCGAGTTTTCCATAAAGTGAAAAACTCACGTGCAGAGTCTACTCCAACCGCATATAGAGCACATGCACACAAATTTATAGTATTTATAATATACATTTTGCAGACGTCTTCAGATGCTACTGCAAGTGCAGTCCTAAAACAAAGTAAATCCGATTATTCTGATTCCCGCTCACGCACACATTGAGTTTATAAGTTTTTGAGAAATTTAGCCGATAAAAAGGATAATTTTTCTTCAAAAAAAAAAGAACAGAAATCAGCGGATTGTTTAAACAAATAGCCTTTCAACTCCTCATGAAAAGCTGCATAAAAAATACACAGACAACAAACATTAAAACCAATCAGCCTGAAAGCGATGTCAATAACTTATTTATCGAAGTCTGCCAAACGCCGTTCCAGTTGACACACATTAGTAAAAAAAATCTCTGGATTCGATATCGAAAAACACAACTCTATGCCAGTGTTACTCTTGAAAAGAAAATCAAGCTACTCGGTAGTGAATGCCTGTTGTGAGATCTCTAAGAAATTTTTTGTCAATTCTGCAGTGAGGCCATAAACGAAGAAAACATAATTCAAAATATACTGGATCAAAAGCGTGGAACTTTGA